CTGATTCGTTTAAACTTTCCTCCAAACCAAAGGAAGTTACACCTGCAGGAAGATCCCAACATGTCATTTATTACTAACGGGATAACAACAGATCCGGTTCGTTAGGACACCGCCATGTTGGGCTCACGGACCGAGGTCTGAGCCAGAAGGTCACAGGTTTGAATCCCAGCTAGCAGCACCGCACTAGCCTGTTCCTCGTTGTCCTCCACCTGTAAACACACACACACACACTAAAACACACACACACTAAAACACACACACTAAAACACACACACTAAAACACACACACACTAAAACACACACACTAAAACACACACACTAAAACACACACACTAAAACACACACACTAAAACACACACACTAAAACACACACACACTAAAACACACACACTAAAACACACACACTAAAACACACACACACTAAAACACACACACACTAAAACACACACACTAAAACACACACACTAAAACACACACACACTAAAACACACACACTAAAACACACACACTAAAACACACACACTAAAACACACACACTAAAACACACACACACTAAAACACACACACTAAAACACACACACTAAAACACACACACTAAAACACACACACTAAAACACACATACTAAAACACACACACTAAAACACACACACACTAAAACACACACACTAAAACACACACACACTAAAACACACACACTAAAACACACACACTAAAACACACACACTAAAACACACACACTAAAACACACACACACTAAAACACACACACTAAAACACACACACACTAAAACACACACACTAAAACACACACACTAAAACACACACACTAAAACACACACACTAAAACACACACACACTAAAACACACACACACTAAAACACACACACACACACACTAAAACACACACACACACACACTAAAACACACACACACTAAAACACACACACACTAAAACACACACACACTAAAACACACACACACTAAAACACACACACACACACACTAAAACACACACACACACACTAAAACACACACACACTAAAACACACGGACGCGCGCACACACACATACTCGCACACAAACACACCTATAACACACACACACTAAAACACACACACACACACACACTAGAATACACACACATACTAAAACACACGGACGCGCGCACACACATACTCGCACACAAACACACCTATAACACACACACACTAAAACACACACACACACTAAAACACACACACACACACACACACTAGAATACACACACATACTAAAACACACGGACGCGCGCACACACATACTCGCACACAAACACACCTATAACACACACACACTAAAACACACACACACACACACACTAGAATACACACACATACTAAAACACACGGACGCGCGCACACACATACTCGCACACAAACACACCTATAACACACACACACTAAAACACACACACTAAAACACACACACACTAAAACACACACACTAAAACACACACACTAAAACACACACACTAAAACACACACACTAAAACACACACACTAAAACACACACACACTAAAACACACACACTAAAACACACACACACTAAAACACACACACTAAAACACACACACTAAAACACACACACTAAAACACACACACTAAAACACACACACACTAAAACACACACACACTAAAACACACACACACACACACTAAAACACACACACACACACTAAAACACACACACACTAAAACACACGGACGCGCGCACACACACATACTCGCACACAAACACACCTATAACACACACACACTAAAACACACACACACACACACTAGAATACACACACATACTAAAACACACGGACGCGCGCACACACATACTCGCACACAAACACACCTATAACACACACACACTAAAACACACACACACACTAAAACACACACACACACACACACACTAGAATACACACACATACTAAAACACACGCGCGCACACACACATACTCGCACACAAACACACCTATAACACACACATACACATTAAAACACACACACACACACTAAAACACACACACACTAAAACACACACACACACACTAGAATACACACACATACTAAAACACACACACACTAAAACACACACACACACACTAAAACACACACATACTAAAACACACACACACTAAAACACACACACACTAAAACAAAAACACACACACACTAGAATACACACACATACTAAAACACACACGCGCACACACACATACTCGCACACAAACACACCTATAACACACACATACACACTAAAACACACACACGCACACACACACTCACGCACACACACACACACACTAAAACACACACACTCACGCACACGCACACACTCACGCACTCACACACACACACACTCACGCACACACATACACACACTAAAACACACACTCGTGCACACACGCACACACAAACACCTATAACACACTCACATACACACACACACACTAAAACACACACACACAGACACATACACACACACACACACTAAAACACACACTCGTGCACACACACAAACACCTATAACACACTCACATACACACACACACTAAAACACACACTTGCGCACACACACACACACACACACACAAACACCTATAACACACTCACATACACACACACACACACACACTAAAACACACACTCGCGCACACACGCACACACTCACGCACACACACACACACTAAAACACACACACAAACACCTATAACACACTCACATACACACACACACACACACACTAAAACACACACTCGCGCACACACGCACACACTCACGCACACACACACACACTAAAACACACACACAAACACACACACTAAAACACGCACACACCTATAACACACACACACTAAAACACACACTCGTGCACACACGCACACACAAACACCTATAACACACTCACATACACACACACACACTAAAACACACACACACAGACACATACACACACACACACACACACTAAAACACACACTCGTGCACACACACAAACACCTATAACACACTCACATACACACACACACACTAAAACACACACACACAGACACATACACACACACACACACACACTAAAACACACACTCGTGCACACACACAAACACCTATAACACACTCACATACACACACACACACTAAAACACACACACACAGACACATACACACACACATACACACACTAAAACACACACTCGTGCACACACGCACACACAAACACCTATAACACACTCACATACACACACACACACTAAAACACACACTCGTGCACACACGCACACACAAACACCTATAACACACTCACATACACACACACACACTAAAACACACACACACAGACACATACACACACACACACACACACTAAAACACACACTCGTGCACACACACAAACACCTATAACACACTCACATACACACACACACACTAAAACACACACACACAGACACATACACACACACATACACACACTAAAACACACACTCGTGCACACACGCACACACAAACACCTATAACACACTCACATACACACACACACACTAAAACACACACTCGCGCACACACACACACTAAAACACACACTCACATACACACACACGCACACACATGCACACACGCACACACACACACAAACACCTATGACACACTCACACACGCACACACACACACGCACACACACACACACACACACACACACACACCATCTCACAAACAAAAATAAACAAGATGGCCGACACCTTTTACATTACTGATCACACTTCTGGTCGGATTGAGCTCCCGCGTGTCGCGGCGCCTCCCTCCTACAGGCGGCCGAACATACCTGTCGTGCCCACACGGCTAAAGCAGCTGCAGCGGTGCATTCTGGGTAAACAGATCAAAGGCTTTCCCAGAGAGCCGTTAAACAGACTCTGCTGTTGGACTTCATACGCTTCGCCCATAAACTCTGTTTCCCCATCTCTCTGCGCCGTGTTGGGATTCCCCAGGTCTTTATGTGAGCGGGCTTGTTTTTACCGATGACCGTTGTGGTGGTTAGTGGTTTATGGGCTCTCGCCGCTCGCCAAGGCTGTTTATCGCTGGGTTCTCTCAGCCAGGGCCAAGCACACGGGAAACATCAGCCAGGACTTCCTGAAGCTCCACGCTGATGCCCGCGTCTGGGATTCCTTCACTCCTTTGTTGTTCTCTGGTTCACAGTTTTCCTCCCATCATGTGTTCATCAGTTCCAGGCAGAGGGTCCAGGACACCACTGGTGCTGCTGCTCAGACCCAGAAGGTCCAAACTGTGTGTCAGGATTAGTGTAGATGAGAATAAATGTGATACGGCACACGAGGTTCTGGGCTCAGGCCGGCTTTAGCTCAGCAGAAACACACCTGGTCAACAGATGTCCTAAAGGCCAACGGTCTCCAGGAGCCATGTGGTCCTGCTGTAGGAAACGGCAGCTAGTCCCGTTTGTTGGACAGCGTGCGGTGTGTGGGAGCCGTGGCCTGGTCCTGGTGAGGTCCTGGTGAGGTCCTGGTGAGGATGTGTGATGCCAGACGTGAGTTCAGCTACTTCCTGTTGGTTTGAGCCTTTAGACATCCTTGTGTGGTGGAAACCCACTGAGGATTTTCCCAGCTCTCCTCTGACCTACGCTCAGTCCCCGCCCACTCTGACCTATGCCTCCCCCCTTTTTTCTGTCCACCCCCTTCACGCTGAACCCCCGCTGCTTCTAAACCCACAAGCCTTTAACCCACCCCACCCCGGTTGGATGGACACGTGCAGACCGCTGACTAAAACCCATGTGTCAGTCAAATCAGTGAATCGATCAGTCAGTCCATTGATTTTTGTCGGTCATAATCATGATTCTTGTCTTCGGTCTGATGAGTGTTTCACTGATTTTTCACGTTTGATAGTCAGAGTAAGAAAAGCAGCCATGTTTGATTAAAACCTCGTCTCTGTTCTGCCATTTTTGTTGATCCCCTTTTCGCCAGGACTCTCGTCGCCTGGTTCTCATAAGAAGCTGGGGAAATTCGATTTCAGCGCCCTGTCCTCCCAGACGAGGTCCCCCCGCATGGCGTTCACCCACCACCCACTGCCCATGCTGGCGGGAGTGAGACCAGGTGAGACCACCTCAGCTCCCAACCCTGCTGTCCGTCCCCTCCAACCCCTTCCTCCTCCACTCCTCACCATCTCCACACTCTCTCAGGACCCCACTCCTCCCCTCCCCGGTGGCTTAGAGGCTGGAGCGTTGTCTTTGGAAAATGAGAGCAGTTGGGAACTGAAAGCTGGCAGGTTCCTCATCCTCCGCCTTCTCTCCTGACCCTGTAGGGTGAGGCTAGCGCTGGTGGTGGAGCTTCTGTGTGTGGTTGGTGTGGAGCCTATGGGTTTGGCTGGTGGTCGTTGGCAGAACATCTCTACGGTTCTTGTTCTTAGTGCAACACGGTGAATAATATGTGCACATGTGGACAAACGGTTGGTTCCCTTCGGTCAACGAAAGGAAATCCCACAACGGTCTCAGCAATAACTTGAATCTGACTAAAGTAATAATAAATACAAATTCCATGAAGGTGACGGGAAGAGTGTAGACCAGCATGTTAAAGGTAACAGCTGTGGGGCCATCTCCGAGCAGCTAGATGTTCCCGTGGCTACAGCTGCTCGTGTCATTCAGACCTTTCAGATCCACGGGACTGTAGCCCACCTCCCTGGACGTGACCGCAGGAGGAACACTGATGGCCAATCACAGACGGATAATCTGAATGGTCACAGAGGAGCCCAGAAAACTTCTAAAGAGATCCGAGGTGAGCTTCGAGCTCGAGGAACATCAGTGTCAGGTGGCGCCATCCGTCGTTGCTTGAGCCAAAGTGGACTACGTGGGAGACGACCAAGGAGGACACCATTGTTGAAAACCAGATGGGAAAATGCCAAACTCCATGCTAACAAGCCACAAAGCTTCTGGGAGAACGTCCTATGGACACCAGACAAAAATGGCACAGCAGCTCTACGTCCACAGACAGAAAACGAAGCATATCGAGAGAGGAACACCGTCCTTACTGTGAAACATGGAGGAGGCACTGTTATGTTCTGGGTCGCTTTACTGCATCAGGCACAGGGTGTCTTCTATCTGTGCAGGGTACGATGAAATCTCAAGACTTTCAAGGGATTCTAGAGAGGAAGGTGCTGGCCAGTGTCAGAGAGCTTGGTCTCAGGGGCAGGTCACGGGGTCATGGGTCATGAGACAGGACTAGACCCAAAGCACACGGCTAAAGACACCCACGAACGGCTCAGAGGAGAACATCAGACTGCTCTGAAGTGGCCCTGACCTCAGTCCTATCAAGCATCTTTGGAAGGAGCTGAAACAGGCCGTCTGGAAGACCTGAGACAACTGAAGCTGTTCGCTCATGAGGATTGGGCCAAAATACCTGCTGAGAGGTGCAGAAGTCTCACCGACAGCTACAGAAACCGTTTGATTGCCTCAAAAGGTTGTGCAACAAAATATGAAGTTAGGGTGCCGTCATTTAAGTCCTGGCCTGTTCCACCCGTTTAGTTTTAAATAGTTCAGCTGAAGCAAGACTGGAAATCCTCGCCTGACTTTTACTGGTTCAATTTCATAGAATTTGTATTTATTAATGATTATTATTATTATTAATTGTTATTATTATTTAAATAATCATTTATTGTTCGTGTGAAGCACCTTGTGATTTTTATCTAGAGTGGCTGTATAAAACATTCTGCTCCCTTTCTTCTCCTTTCTGGGGTGTGTGTGTGTGTGTGTGTGTGTGTGTGTGTGTGTGTGTGTGTGTGTGTGTGTGTGTGTGTGTGTGTGTGTGTATATGTGTGTGTGTGTGTGTGTGTGTGTGTGTGTGTGTGTGTGTGTGTGTGTGTGTGTGTGTGTATGTGTGTGTGTGTGTGTGTGTGTGCGCGTGCGTGTGTGTTGTGTGATGTCAGCATTTTTTTTGCCTTACATGAATTTAGAGTTCACCAAATGTAGTCATTTTAAAGTGAAAGACGGCTTTTCTTGCCTGACCAGTGTTGAAAAGCCGTCTTTTACATAGAAAGCTACGGTCACGCTTGTCTACTTACTCCTGATTAATATTAGCCTTCCACTGAACTTCCAGATAATCCTCTTCTAATTCCGTCTTCGGGATTTCTTTTTTTCAAGCTGAAAGTGTTTAAATCTCTCACCAGAAGATGCATCGACTCAGGAGCCTTTTTATAAAGGCTCGCCCTGTAGTCGGAAGGTCGTTGTGTCCTTGGGCAAGGCATTTAACCCACGTTGCCTTCTAGTGGTGGTCGGAGGGACCGGTGGCGCCTGTCCTCGGCAGCCTCGCCTCTGTCAGTGCGCCCCAGGGCAGCTGTGGCTACATCGTAGCTCATCACCACCAGTGTGTGAATGTGTGTGTGAATGGGTGAATGACTGATTGTGTTGTAAAGCGCCTTGGGGTGCTCCAGGACGCTAGAAGGCGCTATATCAAATACAGGCCATTTACCATTTATAAAACATGGTCAGACCGATAGAGGAGACATTAATAGTCATACTAACTATACTTTTTCATTTGTCTCTTGTGCATTTAGCGTGTTTCTATAAATTAACACTGCGATGAACTCGGTTTCTGCCAGAAACCGTCGACGTGTCTACTCAGGATGGTAGCTGTCCTCGTTTATGTTCAGCATGGCAGCTAGTTAGCATCCGCAGCTGTAGCTCAGGATGCTAGCTGTCCACATGGATGCTCAGCACGGCAGCTAGTTAGCATCCGCAGCTGTAGCTCAGGATGCTAGCTGTCCACATGAATGCTCAGCACAGCAGCTAGTTAGCATCCGCAGCAGTAGCTCAGGATGCTAGCTGTCCACGTTTATGTTCAGCACAGCAGCTAGTTAGCATCCGCAGCAGTAGCTCAGGATGCTAGCTGTCCACATGGATGTTCAGCAGGGCAGTTAGTTAGCGTCTGCAGCAGTAGCTCAGGATGCTAGCTGTCCACATGTATGTTCAGCACGGCAGCTAGTTAGCGTCCGCAGCAGTAGCTCAGGATGCTAGCTGTCCACATGGATGTTCAGCAGGGCAGCTAGTTAGCATCCGCAGCAGTAGCTTAGGATGCTAGCTGTCCACATGTATGTTCAGCACGGCAGCTAGTTAGGGTCTGCAGCGGGAGCTCAGGATGCTAGCTGTCCATATGGACGCTCAGCACAGCAGCTAGTTAGCGTCCGCAGCGGTAGCTCAGGAGCTGTTGTTGCAGCTATGATGGTTCCAGCTCGCTACGATCCCGCTACGTTAGTCAGAAATGCGCATAGGGCTCAGGGTTCGAACGGCAACGAGACTGTCTCACCTGAAAGAGTACCGGGCTCTACTAGAAGCCCTCACCGTACACACCTATGGGGAGACTGATTATATATAGTTTCTACGTGTTTTACATCAATCATTTGGACTTTCAGCGCGCCAGTGATTCTTTTGAGTAGAGCGCTGATTGTTGACGCGCTCCAGGCAGCTGCGTCCCGCGCACGGCCACAGTAACATTCTCAAAGTGTCGCCATCAAGAAATACAACTAACACACCATCGTTCCTGCTCTCTGTCTTTCTTTCTGGTACTTTCTGTCTTTTATTCGTGCCTGGCGCGCTCCGCTACAGCAGAACCTATCCCTCGTGGTCCGGTGGCTTCACCTCACTGGTGCAGCCGTGGGTAGATGCCTTCAACCGGTAGCTCATGAGGTGGAAACGTAGAAAGCCATGAAACCGTTTTTCTGGAGGGCTGAGAGGAGGTGCAGGAAGATCAGAGACAGAAAGGACAGGAAAACGAGCTCGGAAAGGAAAATGTAGGTAGCTCCATCCCACTGCACCTTCTACCTGTATTAAGCAATCACTTATAAGCATGTAATATTTATATATTTATTACATTTCAGATCACCTTCAAAGTTCAGTCCCACACCCAGGGCCGTATCAAGGCATTTTTGGGGCCAAGGCAGAATACACCCCCCACACCCGTACCCTGCCACCACAGATCCCGTTTCAGCCAATTCTCCCATTTTGATAAAAGCGACAACGGGGCTCAGGAACTTTCTGGCCTGGCACTGAAGTGGTTTAGGTCTCATCTTGCAGACTGAATGGTGTCGGTTAGTTTGGGCGGTTTCTCATCTCATTTAGCTAATCTACATTGGGGGGTTCTGCAGGGATTGATACTAGGACCACTGCTGTTTACTGTATATTGGTTCTTAAATCTTTGGAAGGTCTGGCTCCCCGTATGCTGCTTTCGGAAAACAGGTCACTGCTCTCACTCCCTGAGACTTGGATGAAGACCGGGAAGGACAGAAGCTTTTCGGTGGCTTCTCCGAAACTCTGGAATGAGCTGCTTTGCTGCTCTCACGTTGCTGCTGGCTGTTCATTACACCAGCCCGTGTGACAGCACACCTCCCGTTCGATCGTTGTCCCGGGGGGGCACAAAGAGGGGGCCCGTGGGCCGCTGAGGACCACTGCACAAACCACTCAATTTTGGTGGAATTCTGATGTGGGATGGAAGCCAACTTCAGTCACATGGACTCAGCGCTTCCCTGCCGCGGGAACGCGCAGCGCTCAGCCGCTCATTGACGCTACTACGAGTGAAGACGATGCTACTTTTAAACATATCATTGTTGTGGTGTGAAATATTAATTTAAGATTTAAATTAATATCAAAGTTTATTTATTAAATGGAAGATTCAGTAAGATTCTTTTCATTCGATAAACTGGAAATGCAACCCTTTTCTGTGTTTCGTTTCAATAATGAGGCAAGTTTAAAAATGAAGAAATTTATTTACTAACAATTTTAAACTGAAAGGTTTGAAGCGACATTCATAAAATGACAATTCATAAATGGCAATTTTGATGACAATCCTTCACAGCTTTGATACTAAACTTGTTTAAAAGCAAACCGGTGTTGGATGGAGCTAAAATTGAGAATGATGAGTTTTGAATGCGTGAATGAAGTTCTCAGAAGGTTTCTTTCAGTGGGAATGGAAGGTGTTCTGGATGAAATGATGTTTTGAGGATAACCGAGTTATTTTTAGAGAAATTAGCATCAAACGCATTCTATCGTGTTCTACCTCACCCAAATAGGCTGACCCTCTTGTGGATCCGGAGATCGGAGGACGGGTTCATCCAAGATGACACTCGGGGCTGGCAGAGAAGACGCTGAGTGTCCGATACTCTGGTCCGGAGTGGTAGCCGGGTACACGGCTGTACGAAGCGTTTGGCAGATGCACGTTCTCGTATTTAAATTAACTTCAGAAATCAATGGCTCTGGGAGAGTCTTGCGTTAGCTGGTTCACGGTTCGTTTGGTCTTTAGCCATTCTTGTCGGCGTGACAGAACAGCTGGCAGAGGGTCAAGGAGACGGCCGTTCTCCTTTCCTCGTGGTGTTGGTTGAAGAACTCGACGTGAAACCTGTGATGGTTAGTTTTTACCAAACTCTCTCAGAACCCCTCCCACTCTCTCTGGAAGAAAGCTTGGTCATGCGCCAAAAAACGTGCTGCAGTTATTGTTTATCTGAACTCTGTGTTGGCTGACAGTGAAGGTCTTCTTTGCTGAACACATCTTTAATCATTATAATAATTATCATTATAACACCCAAAGCATAATAATCCATGTCATGTAATTAAAATACCTTTATATCTGAACCAAGTGATCATGTATTAATGATTATTTAAACAGTAATAAAATCATAAGTTTATTAATTATTATCATCGTGGCTTGAAGTGTCCTTCTTCTGGGACGGAACAGCAGATGATGTTATGATCTTGGCTAGACATCGTGGCTCCTTGGGTTTAATCTGTGGATTCAAAGTACTGTCTGACCCGGCTTGACCCAGCTGGGCAAATGTGACCTTTGGCACAAATCAGAGAACCTTCATCTCACTACATCTGTAATATTAACACGTTTCTTATCCGTGTGCTTCCGGAAAAGCCATGCTTTGGGCAAATACGTGAAAGAAATGACGGTTTTTAACAAGTTTAATGTTTTAAAGTCAGGATTAGTGTCTCTGCTCCCTGGTTCCTAATAACGGGTTTTTAACCCAACAGCATGACAGTTTAAGCCCATCTAAAGGTTTATGAGAATGCTCTAGAGCAGGACTGGGTTATTTATATTAATTCTATGAAAACTGCCTGTGTGGAAAACCATGACTGACACTAAGATGGAGGTCTGATAACTCAAATAATAAATTAAACCAACAAATGTTTTTATTTATGTCCTTAAAAATATCTGAAAAGCAAACAGTAACTTTCAGTCTATCCATCCGTCTATCCATCCATCCATTCGTCCATCTATCCGTTCGTCCATTTGTCCGTCCATACATCCATCTATCTGTCTATACATCCGTTCATCCATCCGTCTATTCATCCATCCATCCATCCATCCATTCGTTAATCTATCCGGCCATCCATCCATTCGTCCATCCGTTCGTCCATTTGTCTATCCATACATCCATGCATCCGTCTATCCGTCCATTCATCTGTCTATCTATCCATCTGTCCATCTGTCTATCCATCCGTCCATCCATCCATCTATCATCCGTCCGTCCGTCTATTCATCCATCCGTCCATCCATCCATCTATCATCCGTCCGTCCGTCTATTCATCCATCTGTCCATCCATCCATCCGTCTATTCATCCGTCCAGCCATCCATCGGTTCATCTATCTATCTGTCTATACATCTGTTCATCTATCCATCCATCCATCTATACATCTGTCCATCCATCCATCCGTTCATCTATCCATCTGTCTATCCATCCATCCATCCATCCATCCATTTGTCCACCCATCCATCCATCCATCCATCCATAAAAGGCAGTTAGGAGTTGGAGCTACGCGTCTCAGTGTCCCACACTTTTATTTATAATTCATGTAAAATCATTTAAATTCCCTCTGGCGTGAATCATATCCTTTTGTTCACAACAGTAATTATTTAATGCTCTGAAATAATCTGCCATGGTAAGCTCATTTCATGAGGTACATGCATCCACTACCAGAGGATTATGCCCACGTGGGTCATGCAGTGCGGAGGCAAACTTGGCGGGAGTCTCACAGAATATTTCTGAAGTATTTTGGCCACTGCAGGCCACCGTAGCTGGTACCAGATTTAGGGGGGTTGGTTTGTTCGGCCCGTTTCACACTACAAACAGTCATGTGTAAGGATCAATCAAACACGAGCAAACGTCCACAGAAAAGGTGTGACGCTGAGTTTAACGTTTAAAGCGGAACATGAACTCAGAGAGTTTTTTCATGTAGAGAACAACTTTCTGTCCGTTTTGTGAGAACACGATCGACTGGACACGTAGGATTAGGTGACTGCTTACAAACTAGCTGTAGCAACACCCGCTAACTGGAGAGATGTACTGGAACCTCAGGGTTACAGGTTCACACCCTGCTCAGTCTTTGTGTCTTTGGGCAAGGCGCAATTCAACAGGTGTTCCGACAAGAGCATGCCAGCCGAGGTTTGCATGACCTGTTATGGGAAGCTGCGTAAGAATAACGAGGTTTTTATGTAAATTTGTACTGCTAACATGTTTCTTATCCTTTTGCTTCCTGACAAAATGACGGTTTATTTGAAAAATATATGAATAAAATCTTTTACTGATTTACTACTTAGAATGCAAGATGGTGCAGGCTTGTTAGTGTGGGTGTTCCCACAAGCCCTGCAGTGAGACGGAGTCTCATGGACAGTTGTACGTGTAGATTAAGGGACTCTAAGAACAGTATAATCCAGTCCCTGACAAACCGTACACGGAGTTCTGTCATGTTTTATTCTAACGTGTGGAATTATTGGCGTCTTAAACTTTATGTGAGCCTAAAATAGCTTGCACGTTTTATTTTAACCTATTTGCTTATTTATGTTTTTATTATCTGTTTTGGGCCTTCTTGTGTCTGTAATACAGTGATTGATTGACTGATTGATTGATTGATTGATTGATTGATTGATTGATTGATTGATTGTAATTTCGAGTCCCTTTCCTGTTTTTTTAAACCAACAGCAAAATTCAAGCAGGCAGAAGAAAATAATATAAAAACACTCACTAAACATTAGTCTCTAACGTGTTTAGATCAAATGTGTCTAAAACGTAAATATCTCATCGTATTTCTAGTAAAAAACAAAAGGTTTTCAGGAGAAACACGGATTAGAAAAGTGTTCACGTTATGAATGTGTTAAAAATAGCCTCATCGATCATTACTCTGATAATCCAGACTGATGTTTCCTGTTTTGGGACGGGCTGATTTCAGATGCACCATCCACGTACGACCACTAGGGAGCGCCAAGTCACCATTCTCGTGTCACACCGCCAGACGGTTACTGCAAACTTGTTCCAAAAAGGTTTTAATAAACACCAATAGATGCTAATTCAGCATAAAACCCAAACAAAGCTCGTTTCATGAAGATGAAAGCATCAAGTCGGTCTCACCTTTGCCGGTTTAAGGTTGTAATAATCAGTGTTATAGAATAAATGCAGGAGAGTTCAAAAGTCTCTGACGCCACATCCCATCATTTTCTGGTTCTTCATGACAGCAAAACGCCACCAGGTGAACTCAGCTGCTCTAAAACAGCACAGGACGGTGACCTGTGGAGAATATCCGGTTCTGTCCTGACCTGAGCGGAGACTCGGCCCTGCCGGTCTTCTGCGCGTGTCTTCACGGGCGCTGGGGGGGATGGGTCCCGTTAGCGTGGGTCTATGGTAAAAATCGCTGCGCCCAAAAATAACAGGAAACACGTCACAGGACGACTCGGTAGTGTTACAAGTGTAAATGGCATGTTTGAACTAGACAGATTACACGCAGCACTTCTAGTCTGTTTTTATTTATACTTTGTGATTCCTCTGTTGTTCAGAGTTTAACCTGAAGAGGGCGCCACACTGGCGGCCTTTGGTTTCATTTAAGCCTTTTAAATAAGAAGCACTAAAGTGCAAGTAGCGACTGCACGTGTCTCCAGCACCATTAGAAACCGTGGCATCGGGATCTAAAGGGAACCTTTTGTGTCTGCAGGGAGTCCCCGGGCTTCGGCCTCAGCTCTGCCCTTCCCGTCTCCTTCCATCATCCAGCAGTCTAGCCCCTACTTCACCCACCCAACCATCCGCTACCACCACCATCCTGGGCAGGATCCCCTGAAGGAATTTGTGCAGTTTGTCTGTGCTGACGGCTCGGGGCAGGCCACCGGACAGGTAAGGCTAGCCTGCAGCGAGGACAGCTGAAGTAGACGTGTCTGTTGGCTCATGCATAAGCATTACTGGTGACTGAACTCAGCCAGTTTAGTATACATGTCTATACGCTTGTATACCACTGTAATCAGACGGTGCATGTCAAAGTTAAGGTCTGCCCACCCACATTACACACACACACACACACTTAGTGAGGTGATCTGGAAATCTTTGTGCTGTCTTGTCAATGTCACTTTACCGTTTCCCGTTTCAGATCCCGACATTCCCCCAACCCTTCCTCTTTTTGTTTCTACCTTTATTTTGCTCCGCCCTAACCCCTCTGAAGTTACGACCATCAGCACTAGCGTGAACCCGTCACAGCACGCTTCCGTCTTGTGTCGTGTCATCGTGTCTGTTTCCCATCTCTTGCTGTTCCGGTTTTCGTTGGCGTTTGGTCGTTTGGTCGTTTGGGGTTTGTTGGTGTTGTGGTTGTGTAGACAAGTATTCTCCCATGGTTTTTATTTCTTGCCATCGGCTGGATGAGTCCAGTCAAATTGTCCCCTTCCACGCCACCTCCACCCAGCACCTGAGTGGAAGCTCCTGCTCCAGGTCCATCTTTGTGGTGCTGTTGATCCATAACCGATGCTGTCCACATACCTCATTCCTTTGGTTGTTGCCCCCCCCCCCCCCTCCCGCCATCACTCCCCCTCACTTTTGTTCGTCATGAATATTTTTATTTTGGACCCGGCCCTTTGAGCCGCGCCCCGTTTCCATTCCGTGTCTGCGCGTTGTCGCATGCCGCCCTCCTGACCCTATTTGTGTTGTCCGCAGCCAAACGGGAGCGGCCAGAGCAAAATGCCAGGCTCCTTCTTACTGCCTCCACCTCCCCCAGTGGCCCGCCCAGTGCCCCTCCCCATGCCCGACTCTAAACCCAACAGCACGCCCCCTGACGGCGGACTCTCCTCGCCCGCATCTCCGTGTAAGTGACCCCGCAGCGACCGTTTTCAGAACAAAACAAAAAGATCAGTAATCCCTCTCCAGTAAGGAGACCCTCATAGTTCCTCCTCCAACTCCGTGCCATTTCCCTACATTCCACTTCTCACTTCCCTCATCTTTCCTGAAGCCAGCACATTAAGTAAAGTGGAGCCTGTTCTAGTAGCTCAAGGCCCTCAGGAGGTTGATAGACTGTCCTTCTGGACCCCATGGCCGCCTCATGGTTGTGTACTAGGCCCCGTAAGTTTTCCAGACGCCCACGCCACTCTGCGTGTTGTGCTACGAAGGACGCATTTCAGCTCCAGTTCCTTTTCCAAACACATCCCTCTTTCCCCTGGTGGATTTATCAGCAAACCTTGTGAGATTTCAAGTATTAATTAACTGATTTGAGAGCGGCGCAAATTTAGGGCAGTTACTCTATACGGACTCCGAAGCAGAAACTGGGGCATTGGTGGAATAATTAGCCTTTTAATGTTCATCTCTGTATTTGTGGGTTGTGGTTTTTTCTGTGGTGGTTGTCAAACACAAGGAAGAGGAAGTGAAGTCAGAGGTACGTTTGTCTCATGACCTTTAACAAGAGGGGCACTGGATGGAGCACGTCTTTATTTTCTGTTCATTTTTAGCTCTTCTTTCAAAGAAAGTCTGCTTGTTTTATCCCCCAGTCGGCGTCTCAGTCTTTGATGTGTTTGTATGTTTGGGTGGTAAAGTGGTGATGTATACTGTACCTTCCTTCCTGTGTTTCTCCTTCCTGTCCTCCCCCCCCCCCTCCACACACAGACCACACAAGTCTGTACGCCGCCTCCCTCAGCCTTTTCCTGGGAGTCTCTGGAGTCCGGGGGGGGGGGGGGGGGGGGGGGGGGGGGCCTCAAACTGCCCTAAATTTGTCAGAAACGTTGACGCCGCTGGGTTTTACGTGTCCCTGACTGACGCCCGGTGTCAGATTCTGATGTGCTCCGTCTCTGCTAGAAAAGTTTATCAAACGGCTTTAATCACCGAGGGAGGGCTGAGTCTGTTCACCATTTGGGCCAAACGTTACCACGGCTGTATGAAAGAACCGATAATGCTCTAGCCGACACCCACGTGGACTCTTACTTGAGGTGTGTGAGTGTTTCTGCAGACGTTGGCGTTCAAAGATCTTAAATATTGGTAAAATAACATTTTCTGCTGACATTTTTTAATAAAGTTTTTGTGAGATTTGAATTGGAGCCGCTAAGAAAATCACCGTCGGTCTTTTTTTCAGGTAAATGGAAAAACTTTCACCTGCAGCAGCTTATCGTTCTTTTCCCAAGGAGGAACAGTTGGGAGTTTGGGAAAACTGGGACACATTTAGCCACAAGAAATACGACTCACCGGTGCTGGACAGATCCTAAATGTAATGGAATACTTTTGGAAATAAAAGCCTTCTAATGATGCCGGTGGGCGTCGGGGAGCTGGAGCATGCAGCTGATGACTTACAGATGTTAGCTTTAGCCTGACGGACCGGCGTGGGGGGACTGGTGCTTGGGGGCCTACGCCTGCCGATGACGTCACACCAGGACTAGGACTCACGGGTGTTACGTTACTGTGTTCACTAAAGTTAAGTTTAGGTTGACAATAAAGATTTTGGTTTGTCAGGATAAATTCCCCCTCACCCTTCCCATGGCCGGTGGATTTAAATGTCGTTATCCAAGTAAAACCTGGAATGTTCCAACTTTAGCGTAGGGTTAGGGTCCGCTGCCTTTGATAGAAACATCATCACTGAGATTTGGTCCCATAAACTATCCCAGACACAACACCGTAACTTTGATGCAGTCATGTGGGAGAAAAGACGCTCCTGTTGCCAACGGAAACGTGACATAAAAGCATTAGAGACCCTGAGCTGCTGTGAGTTTGATGAAACAAGGCAAAATGGAATATCTGGTATAAAACACGGGAACGGGGTATACGGGAGTGTTCAGCGCCAGGGCTGCTCCTTATGGGAGTGTAGAAGAACTGCTGTGAGTCTGGCGTCGAGTTGATGTCGTGTCACAGTTTCACAGAACAAAGACAACAGTTATAGGAATAAAGGAAAGTCTCGGACACGACGAAGCGTCTTTAATAACAGCTGCTAAGCTCGTGTGTGGCCGAGCAACGCACAGGAGAAAAAGATGCACGGTGTATTTTGTCTGAGTGGTTTGCCGTAGCGTAGCGTCCTCAGCAGGCGCCGATCCGGTACCGACGCCAGAAACAGCACACGGGTCTGATGCACCAAGAAAAGGAGCAGATTATTACGTCTCTATAAACGGCTTCATCGTCTAAAACCAGTAAGTCGCTGGGCCGAGGACACTGGAATCTGGCACATTTTCAGTTGAATCCCACAGTTTGGACATGGAAACGTGTTCCGTGCAGGGGTTCCCAACCTTTTCTGACTCGTGGACCACTGAGCCGTCTTCTCGTACCACGAGTGCCCCCTTAGGCAAACGTGGGCGGTTCCCTAAAAGTAGAACGAATAAAATCATTTCATTAAATCTCCTTAAAGCTGAGCTACACCTCACTTCCTGTCTGGCTCTGGTGAGTTCGTTAACTTTAACACGTAGCTCCGCATCAGCACCGCAGCTGGTGTAGATGCTCCGCATCAGCACCGCAGCTGGGGTGTAGATGCTCCGCATCAGCACCGCAGCTGGTGTAGATGCTCCGCATCAGCACCGCAGCTGGTGTAGATGCTCTGCATCAGCACCGCAGCTGGTGTAGATGCTCCGCATCAGCACCGCAGCTGGTGTAGATGCTCTGCATCAGCACCGCAGCTGGTGTAGATGCTCCGCATCAGCACCGCAGCTGGTGTAGATGCTCCGCATCAGCACCGCAGCTGGTGTAGATGCTCTGCATCAGCACCGCAGCTGGTGTAGATGCTCTGCATCAGCACCGCAGCTGGGGTGTAGATGCTCTGCATGGACTCAATGGTTTCTGATCCATGGGAAACTGGACCGCATCCATTCTGTACTCGATGTGAACGAGGCTTCAGTCGCAGCTGCAGCCCTGCTCTGGTTTTCCTTCATGGTGGTTCTTAACCCTGGTCCTCAGCGCCCCGCCCAACACGTTTTTGCAACACGTTCTCACTCCCAGCGCGTCAAAAACAAACGCTTGGTCAGCCACCCTCCACGTCAGACCCCTGACGTTAAAAGTGCCCTTTTTCTTTACTTATGTGCGAAAAGGGTTTTTCCCTTATTTGACTGCAGATCCCAATGCAGCGTTACACTGACGCGATGGGATGTTCGCAGCCGTGGCACCAAACAAGCTCATTGTACCTCACCCTAACCTTATCCTCTTATTTAACCTTCCCCTCACCCCTATCCTAACCCTAACCATGTTGCTAGCTAACACGTTAGCGATGCGTCGGTCGCTCTAAAAGCCGGCTCTATGAAGTGATCGGCGGGAGCCGCCTCGTCATTGGTCGAGTTTGGACCGAGCCAACGCGAGGGGGAGGTTTCAACTGCCACGGTGGAGGTTAAAAGTAGAGGGTATGTGTGACCTCCCCCTCGCCAGATGGTATGTTCTAACGTTCCCCTTGGGCGGCAAATACGAAAATTCACAGTCAGACTCTGACTGTCAGAGTCAGAATGCACGGGAAACAGACGCTTGATCAGAGTGAGAGTAACGTTTTAGGTAGCAAGAGGGTGAAGGTTAGGATGAGGGAGAGGGGAAGGTTATAAATAGTGAAACGTTAAGGTTTAGGTGCGGTTAAACGAGGTGGTTCGGTGCCGCATCAGCGGATATCTCATCACGTCAGTGTAACGCTGCGTTGGGATCTGCAGTTACAAAAGGGGAAAACCCCTTTTCACACATAAGTAACGAAAAAGGACACTTTTGGCGTCTGGGGTCTGACGTGGAGGGTGGCTGACCAAGCGTTTGTTTCCGACGCTTAGGGTGTGAGAATGTGTTGGTTTTAGGTGTTTCCCTGCTGAAGCTTCACTAGTGAGTAACTGCAGGTGAAACGTTTTCATCAACAATATTAAATGAGGTTGGAGGTTTACTCTTTTCCTGCCCCTCTGGTTGAGCGACGCTCCGATCCGTGGGTCTGGGGTTTTTAGAGGTCAGACTCGCGGTGCGCACCGGCCGCAGTCAGAGAGAGAGACGGGAGAGAGAGAGACGGGAGAGAGAGACGGGAGAGAGACAGACAGGGAGCTACTAAACTCACGGTTTTAACGGCTGTGGATGGAAGTGTGTTCAAACTGCATCACTGGAGATGTCCGAATGTTTGGAAGCGTGTTTTCATCGTGTGATTAAAAACAAACATCATTTAAGGAAGGAGTGTTATTAACGAGCTATTAACGCAGATACCACTTTACCTTCGCCAGATTGGTTTACCGAGAGTGTTTCTCAGTTCTACATCGGCTTCTGAAACCCAGATCAGGTCCGTACGACCGACGTTACCCCCTCTTCTGTACTCCCTGATCCTAATCCCGCAGCAGCCCCTCCGAAGCCGTCGCAGTTTGGCAGCATTCGTGCGCAGTCGCCGTTGGATAATTGGTAATATGATATCAACCATATATTATTGTGCATTACTTTATTTCAGTGTTTATTAAGAATAACACATCCCAGCTGGTGTATCGCCGGGGCTAGTGCTGTCATCATCTGGGTAAAGTAATACACTCACACCCCTGGTTGGGAACCACTGACGGTGCATTATTAAGCTTTAATAAACTATTAAATAAGGTAATAACAACTGCTTAACCCTTAATGTAATGCATTACTGAGCAGACCCCCCCCCCCCCCCCCCCCAACACACACACACACACACACACACACACACACTTGGCCCTGTGTCCTATCCTTGAGGACACTTAAGGGTAACACTATCAGGAACATTAATAAGGGGACCTTTGTTTATTAAGGCTTAATAAAGCACTAAGTAACGTTAATAAAAGGACCCTGAGTGTAAGGTCCTACCAGCATACGTTTAATTATATTTCCACTTGTTTTTGATTCGTCCTGATTTAATTTAACTGCATTCAGGATTTCACATCAGCCGGTGGACCGGGTCCGGTTGCCATGGTGATGGCGTGACCTATAGGGAGTGAGGTAGTTTTCTTCCTGCAGACATTTCCGTCCCTGATGTCCAGCCTTGTGTGTGTGTTCTGTTTCCGCAGCATACTCCACGCCAGGCGCCACAGCTGCCAACAGGTTTGTCGGCATCGGATCACGGGACAACTTTCTGAACATCCCGCAGCAGACGCAGGTGAGCCAGCTGGTGTCTGGGACCAGGAAACTACTGGTGAACCTGGAGGTTCGCCAAAGTTTGCTTCTGTTTTTTCACTCCCTGAATCCCAGAAACCTGCTGTTGGGTCTCCTTCCACACCATCCCATAATCCGTGAGCACATCTGTATTTTACTGTACGTGTGCGGTTGGCCAGATGTGCTCGGTAGGAGTCTACCCTCCAGGCAGGAGGCCTTCTTGGCTCCTCCCTGCTACCTTTAGCTGCTCCACCCGATCTCCTGCATTTCTACTTCACTTTCTCAAACTCTGCTTTCTCGGTTCTCCTCCTCGCTGCTCCGTCTTCCATTAGCGCCAGCGCCTTTCCCATTCCAGCCCGCCACACCCACCCGGAGCCAGCTCCGCTCCTCCACACATGGAAACCATCTGACTATCCCTCCCTCCTTTCTCTGCTCGTCCTTCTCTCACTTTGTCAGGATTTCCATCTCTACCAGCCGTTTCTATCCTGTGTTGCACACTTTGACCTGTAAAAACCCAAAAGATGCACATGTTGCTCCAATTTAGACAAGAAAGGATGAAAACAAAAATCAGCCATGCGTCAAAAGTGTGTACGTGGTGACCGGAGGTCAGCCTGGAGGAGGCGGACAGCAGCAGCTGGTCAGCTCTGCCCTCTAGTGGAGAGGCGTGTGTACTACAGTCAGGAGGAAGGAGACGCAAGATACCAGGAGTCCAGAAAAAGAGGAGAAACGCACAAACCAGAGCCACAGAGGCAGGTTCAGCCCGTATAGAAGTCACGTCCTGCCCGTCTCGTTACCCCTGGCAACCAGACATGATGTCATCGCTAGCTGATCTTGAATTTGAGATGGGGTTGCCCGAGAGTGGTCAGTGTCTGCTGCCAAGGAGTGTGTGTGTGTGTGTGTGTGTGTGTGTGTGTGTGTGTGTGTGTGTGTGTGTGTGCGTGTGTGTGCATGTGTTTGAATGTGTGTGTGTGTGTGTGTGTGTTGGGGGGGTGGGGGGGGAGTTTCCCGGGCCTGACTTGCAGAATGTCGGCCCTTTGGTCCCCAGGGACGGGTCCGGCATGCAGTGACCCGTCCTGCTCCTGCTGGGCTGGACACACCTGACGTGGACATGTGACGGGGGCATCTCCACACCGACACTTTCGAGGCGTTGTGTTTGAGACCCGGAGCAGCTGCAGCCCCGCTGGTTGCATCGCTCTGTTTAACATTTGAGTACATCTTTAATTATTTTAATACTGCAAAGAAAATCAGGTCCAGAAAACTAGAGAAGTGGACTTGTTGTTGTCCGCTAACTCAAGCGAACAACGCCTCCTTGTGTGTGTGTGTGTGTGTGTGTGTGTGTGTGTGTGTGTGTGTGTGTGTGTGTGTGTGTGTGTGTGTGTGTGAATGAGCCATTCTTACTTCTGCTCTAGGTTGGGGTCTTTTTGTCTCATCTGAGTGTGTCGGACACCGAGATGATCTCCTTCTGTTCTTCTCTCTTCCAGTCTTGGTTCCTCTGACGAGATCTGTGTCCAACCCAGCAGAGTTCTTCTTTGTAATCCCAGATGAGAGAAAAAGACCCGAGAGACAACCCACGGGATGATCATCGTCCTCCAAACCCTAACCGCCTCCTCACCTGAAACACATCATATCCACAGCCGCTCTCTCTGGACATGTTCACGCGGGAGGGGGACCCGACAGGACTGAGACACACTTGGACGGGTGGACGAGGAGGTAAGGGGACAGCAGGCCTCCTTGCACCCCGACCAGCAGCGGCGCACCAAGAGGACGTAAACCCCGCCTCCTGCTCAGATAAATCACCTGTCCAGCAAACGTGGATTTGAACATCTGACCGAGCGATTAGTGAAAAGGATCATCCCACCCCACCAAGGACCAGGAGACCACGCCAAACATTTGTTGATTTAAGGTTGCACTACAAGCTGAGTCGGTTAACACTAATCCCAACGATGTGCACTAAAACACACTTTCACGCCGGCCAATCACGGCTCTCACTTCTGCCTCGCCTCTCCGTAGAAAGTCCTCCCAGTCGCTCCCGGCTGCAGCACGCATGGACACACACACACACACACACACAGCTTACTGGTCTATACGGTCGTTTATTTAAGCTTTAGTTACGACGTTCGAGGTTCCGCGTGTTCCACCACCTTCGGCAGCAGCAGCTGTGGGTTCCTGTTCTGGTTGTTCCTTACAGCGGCTGGTGCACGACAACAAGAGCTTCTTTAGAGGACTGATGTCACTCACACGTTGGGCTAAACCCGCCGCTAAAGGTCGAGCAACCTTTTAAATCCGGTGATTAAAACATAAACATCTCGTCGGTGTTCACCAGGCGTCGCCGTCACCCCTCAGCTAATGTTTCTGCTGCCTTTGCTTTCCACGTGCGTCTGAAAATGGCCGCATTGTTGAAGAAAGCACCGAAATGTCTGGGTTCTAGGTCAAAGGTCGGCTCGGCTTGGGCAGCCTGGCGACACCTCGTCTGGATCAGAACTTTTATTTCTGTTCGACTTACGGCTGAGAACTAAATAAAATAGATGTCGCTGGTGAGCGTGGCGGGTTTACCCGTCTCGCGCTTGTTGGACGTTTACCGACGTGTCCGCACCGGCGTGGATTTTAAACGTCTTCTATCCACATCAGTGGCATGCGTCCTGACTCTGTCCTCCAACACGGAGATGCAGACGCTTCATCCATGATCCAAACCACCGCCTGTTAGTCGTTCCCATCAGGATCCCACGGTTGCTACGGAAACACGAAGATGGTGCCAAAGTAGAGATTATCACGGATTCAGTAGTTGGGTCGTGTTCAAACTCATTGTCAGAAATGGACTGAGTCGCTCCTGGTGACCAAGGCTGATATCTAAACCTGTAGCATCCAGGCAGCCGACACTGGGAACGGCCAATGATGGCCACATCCCATAATATTTAATCATTGTGTGACTGAGAAGTGCAACAACTAGCTGGTCTCAGCGGTCCTGTCCTTTGGATAGAGTGGTTTAAACCGACCAAACCAAGTGTTGTTATGTTGACGTCACTGCCACCTGCTGGCAGGACATGAAAACTACATCTTCGTTTTAGCCTCTGGCCTGGACCAGGAGGAATTTGTGATGTGTTCCCAGATTGGACCCAGACATGATGAAATGTCGCTTTTAGGCCAGATTTAGCCCACTTTTAATCGCAATGTCATTTTTATTTTAGACGTATTTAACTCCCAAAACACTTGTTGCTAAGAGACAACACAACTGATGACAATCCTGAGCCAATGCCGGTTTTAGAACTTCCCTTAACCCGGGATTTCTCCGACTGTTCCAAACATTAGTGACAACGTTCTCAAAAACTCCTGAAATGTTGGTGAGAATTCCCGAGCTCTCCTGAAATCCCTGAGACCAACAACCCTCCTGGTCCTGGTGGACTTCTGCAACTCCTCAGCTTCTGAGAGCCAGAAAAGGCTGCAAATTAAAAAAAAACAAGATCAATTACAAATTCTCATGAAAGCAAGATGAATATTTGTATTTATGTGTAGTTCTGCTAAAAACGCCCACTGTGTGGTTCCTGCAGAACATGAGCAGCTGGTTTCCAGCGGCAACAGCCCCGTGAGAACGACCTTGTACGTTCGTTCTAACCGCCTGATTGGCTCTTTTCCTGTAACCAGCCGCCAGCCGCAGGTTCAACTCGACACGTTGAGTGGTATTCGTTTTCTAGTCCGTCAAATGAAGCTTTTCTTGTGTCCACTTGTGAATTTTCCATAAACGTTTTTTCTGAGCCAGGAAGCCCAGTGGCAGGCTTGACAATCACCGAAGGTTTGTTTTTGGGAGACAGAGCTGTGTGATGAGCCGCGCAGAGGAAAGCGATGCACCGAGACGCGCCGGTGGCTGCCGGTGGTGAGACATCACAAAACATGGAGAAAGTTTCCTAAAGAAGAGAGGCGGGTCGGAGGAGAGAGCTGCTCTCCTCTCGTTTCCTGTAAGCTCGGCTCGTTGTTTACACTCCCAGATAGGATCCTGCTCCAAGAGCAGAGACGCCACACTGAGGAGCAAAAAGAAAATGTAACATATCATCTGATTTAGAGAGGCCTCCAAGGCCCACCATAGAAGAAGAAAACACACACACACACACACACACACACACAGGCACCAGCACTCCCCCTTGCTGTTGTGAATGGAAGAGCCCTGACGAATCAAACAACTGCACTAAAACAATCACGCCAGCCGACCTTAAGACTTCTGTTTGTAGTACGTAGACGGACATCTCCGGGATAGAGAACACACCTCCGGAGAACAGATCGCACCTTCAGTCAGACTCGACAGCTTATTAGATACAAAACACACACACACACACACATGCTGAATTCAAAGGGAAGTAAAACATAATTGACAATCTTAGGGAGGCCTTTATGCTTTCAGTCGTGTTCTGTAGAGTTGGTACAAACGTCCCGTTTCAGTCACCTGTTCCAACCTCTCATCCGACCTAAAAGTTAAAAAATAACTGGACTGCCAGGCGGCGTTCCTCGCTGCAGGAGACACAGCGACGACGCGACTGCCGATTAGCTTCACAGAGACGACTCGACCCATGACACAAGGCTACTGATGGCTATGGTGATTTATTGTCTAATCTATGGAAGTGCCTCTATATTCCCATTATGCAATTTGTCAGACATGAATTCAGGTTCTTTTTTTCACATATAAGCTATAGTGAACGGTGAAAATCTATGTCCGGAAGCGGAAAAGGTGACAGCTCACTAGATAATCACAAGCATCTTTATACAAAATACACATATATATATATTTATAGATATATTCTTTGTCTTCATTTGCAAGATAAGCTCTGTGGCAGTCTAGTTATTTTTTCGAAGCACGGCAAAGATCACGCAGTCGTATGAAAGTCACCGATCTGAGCTGAAGTACCGGAGAGTCCGCCCGCACGAAGGAAGTGAGATCCATCGCAAACCGCAGCAGAGATGTAGACGACGAGGAATAATACAGTAGATTTAACAGAGGAGGGTTTTTCTTGTTTTGATGGGAAGACGTGTTCTTGAACCTAAATGACGTATGTTGATTGAGCCATGTGCAATGCCTTGGTAGAGGAATTAGAGATTGTTAGAGGGTGTCATGCAAAGAGAGGGAAACCCTCTCGAGATTTTCTTTGTCTTTGTAGTCCACGTGCTCCGGGACTCTAAATACGAGAGCAGCAGCGAGAAACAGAAAGAAAAGTTTTTTTGTTTCTTCGTTTTTGATTTTTTAGAAAAAACTTGATTTGTTTCCTAAAACCAGAGCGGGAGGGATATTGGGGCAACTTTTGCAACTCATAAAAATTATATCAACATGAAAACTGGTGCTTTCATAAGAAAAAATGATAAAGTACATTCAGTCTCTATTACACATAAATAATAACAAACAAAAGTAAGTGTTATCGTAGAGGCAAGTTTTTGAAATACGTGCATTATTCTATTTCTCTTTTTGTATTTACCGGGGAGAGGGGAGGGGGGTTCGTAGTAGGAAAAACGGTTGTTGTAACAAAAGGCATTTTTCCTCCCCTACACCGTTCCATCACGACACAAAACACAAACTAAAAAAACAATCTTGTAAAATTTTGTAAAAAGCCCATTTGTTTCCAGCGGACGTTTTTGGTGTCGTATCGAACGTGATCCCAACGCGGAACAGAGACAAGATCTTCCCCGCTTCCGGGAGATGCACAAGTACCGATTCCTGTTCCTAAACCACCGCGGAAAAGGCGGGGAAAGTGGACGGTGATGTTTGAGCTCGTCCTGTTGACGGTTCATTAGTAGTGTTCTCCGTCAGTCAGAGGGACTTTGTAAGCCCACCAGCTGTAAATGATTATAAATATTTGTTTGGTGATGTAGTGTTTTAGACCAGAGCATCTTTAAAGGTTGTCCCTAAAAAGTGCCTTTTGTTCACAGACTCCATCCTGTAATCCCGAGCGCCCGTCTCAAAAGAAAAAAGTCCCCTCCCTCATATTTCTCTTTCTCTTCTTCATCAAGCTTCAGTATACGTAGTACTAAAGGAAGTCGGTGTGATTTAGTTGCTGTTTTTATTGTTCAATACTTAAAAAAAGCTGTAAAAGTTTAAAAAACAGAAAAAAATGACCTCTTTTGTGTCTTCCTCTGTGTCTTGACGTCCGTCTTTCCTGCACACTGGAGTAGTCTGTAGCTGTGTATCCTCCCCCTCTCCTCACCCGTCCTTCCTTTTTCTCCCTTTTCTCTGAACAGCGGGGTTTTAAAAAATAGGAAAAAAGAATACGCAAAGATGTTTTTATTTTTGTTTGTTTTGTTTGTCTGAGCAGAATGCAGTTAGCTCACGTGTTATCCTTGTCTGTACGCTTCACATTGTATTACCATACCCATCTTCTCCAGCTTCCCATGCAGCCGCCGATGTAAGTGAACAAGTGACGCCACGAGGCTCTGGGCTTGGCTGAGGACAGGGCCGTTCTTTTCTTTCACCCTCCTGGAGCAGACGGTGGGGTGAGCCAGTCTGGGTGGTAGGATGGGGGCTTGACCGGTTTCAGGCTGGGGGGGGTCCAGTGACATAGGCACGTGTGTTTGTACTCGTTTCTATTTATTTTTTATAATTGAATTGGCTTTTTGGTGATTTTTGTCCTGTCTTGGCCGTCAGCCGTGCACCTTTCTAGTGGTTGTGCAAGACCAGCTCACAAAAAAGAAAAGGAACAAAAAAATGACTCAAGCACCTTAAAGGCGGAGCGGTTTCCACAGTTCAGAGAGGCTTAGCACAATCACTACAAATACTATACATGCTTCTCCTTCACCGCTGCTGACCGAAGTGGGTGGAGTCAGCGTTGGTGACTCGTAACGCAACGGCGTGTTCCACCAGCAGAATGGGTGACTCCAGGAGAAATGTGTCTTGCCACCAGGCATGCAAAGCCAGCAGCAGTATTATCAGTCATAGAGAGATAAAAGCTAAAAGCCATATCAGAGGCAGGCAGGATGCAGCGTGCGTGTTCCTGATGAGCTAAACGTCTGCAGAGTTCGCTCCTTTCAGAGAGCCTGTGGCCCAACCGTCCGCCATTTTGTTTTGTATTATTTTACACATTTAGTTGCTAATGTGTTTGGTAGGAGGCTGGTTAGCTGATTAGTAATGTAGTGACTGAGCCCCCCCCCCCAAATCCTGCCTTGTTATCCTCTGGTCCGAGACCACGCACGCCTCGCCCATCCTGCCCTCGGAGCGGCGTTCCATCCTCAGACGCGTCTCCCAGAGCCCGTGGTGAAATGCATGTTAATTACAGTTTCTTTTCCATAATAATAAAAGCAGTTTGAAAAGAGCGATGCCTTTACTTGATTGAATAAAAGGAAGTTCTTGACTGTAGACCATCCATGTGGGCTCTGATTGTTTCTGTCCTCAGTGGTAAGCACAAAGCAGCAGTGACACACACAGGGAAAAGGTGTGAACTGCCGTTCAGACACGTACACGAGCCCAAATGATAAAACTGCTGATCACCAGAGAAGTCCTCCGCTTGCTGCTCTGGAGCATACAGGTGTGTGTTAACACACCTCGAAGAAAGCAAGGCATCTGCAACGACCTCAGAGAAGCAAATACCATCAAACCGTAAGCGCCCAGTGAGGTGACCGTGAGCACTGCGCACCACCACCACCAGCTCGATGGCTCCTCCCAGCCAGCAGACCAGTTCCACTTGTCACCACTACTGTCCATAATGTTCATTCCAGAGGAGGACCGTGTTAGTGGATAGGAGGTGCGGCACATCAATGGGAAGCGTGACATCAGGAAGAATTTACATTTCTAGATGGGAAGAAAGCTGTTACGGTTGTTTTGAATGCTAACCTAATCCACAAGGACCAATCGTCTTATAGATGTCTGGAATACACGTCCAGTCTACCTGTTCATGTTATAAGAGCCATCTTGGGTTTTTAGGAATTCTGGGATATGTCAGACTAGTAACTACAGAGCTGCTCTGTCATTTGTAATTTTGTCTAGTAAAGTAACAGTAATAGGATAAATTATATTACTGCTATATTAGAATAAAAACTGCATAGCGGTCCGATTGCTGATTTCATGTCAAAACAGCTTGCCATAAAGGGCATATTTCATGTTAAAGTAGCTACTCAGATATTCTGAAAATCTTTGTGGATATCTTAAAAGACATTGTTGTTGGTAATAAACGTAATTACTGATATCTCGAGTGTTTTTAACTCATTAAAATACGAATAGAGGATATCCTAAATAACGTCAGAATAAATTTTCAGATATCCCCAAAAAAATTAGACAGCAGGACGACTTTCAGCTATCTGAAATAAGAGATTTTCCTAATAAGATCTGAAATGAGACCGTCCAGGTGGACCCTGTGGAAGCGCTGGGTGAGAATGCCGTTTAGACTCCGTAGGACCACCAGGCTTAAGGAGCACGTTTTCTCCTGAGGAAAGTCTAGTTACTTTAAATTAATGTCAAGTTTAAATTTATCTGTTATCATTCAGTAAACGCTTTACTCAGGTCTGCCGGGATAAAACCAAAAGGTTGTAAAAAAGCAGCTGGAAGTTAGGAGGTCGTGAACCTCACAGCCTGAGGGAAGCTGTTCTTCAAAACAAAAGCTGGAGAAAATGCTTTTATTCTGAAATAAACCAGATGTGCTAATACCAGTAGCTGAGCTACGTCTCACTTCCTGTTATTTAACTTCATGACGACTCACAGGAAGCGCTCAGTAAAAATCGACTCCATGTGGAAGCTTTCGGAGCTCCTGATCCGCACAGCGGCTGGTGTGAATGCTGACTTCAGTCCTAGAGGAATCCGTACGGGAAGTGGCCCACATCCGTTCTGTACTCCGTGTGAATGAGGCCGTACCGATACGTAAACTCATTCATGTGTTTTTACAGACTTGGTAATTCCCTCTAATCACGATGCTCTAAGGCTCTCAGAGGTCTTCAGCTGACCCAGACTTCTGATGTCTCCTGCTTTAGCACCACTTAATCCGTCGGCTGGTTCCTCTGTAGGACTTTAATGCTGAGTCAGCAGCTCTGCATACAGGTGAGACAGTAAAAACTCAGACTGAGAGACCATCTAAAGGCTCGGGAGCCTTCTGCAGGTGTTCTGGACTCATCAGCTGATCAGAATGTGACACAGAGTCTAGATTATTGCACCTTTAAGGTAGGATTAGTGACATTAATGAACTTTTGCAGCAGATTCTAGTTTTTCCAATTCCACCTGTAGGAGTCCTTTAATGTACGGCTCATTCTGGAGATGTGGCTGTTGTGATGGACACCGTTTAATTGTGCCACCTTTATAAAGTCCTCTCGTTGTTTTTGTGCTGGATTACAATCGTGTTGCACTTGGATCATTTGCCAGGGGTGCTGGTCTTTATCGTGGCACAAGCAGGATGTTTCAATAGATGTTTTAATCCACTACACTCTAAAAAACTGATTTGAACGCTGATTAAAAAGAAATAAACATAATTTTTAGACTTTTTTTCCCTCTTGGGTAGAATTCTTTAAACCAGCAAAACAATCCATTTGCTGGTTTTAGGAATTCTAGCCAAACGTTCATCCAGCCCTCTGGCTGTTGTTACTCAAGAAAACCTGGTTCATATTCACGAATATTTACCTGATTTTCCCTGCTTACTTTAAGAACGCTGTAATCCACCCGCTTCTTAAAAAACCGAGTCTCGACCCCTCTCTCCATAGCAGCTTCAGACCCATCTCTAAACTTCCGTTCATCTCCAAGATCTTGGAAAAGGTTGTGGCTAAACAACTCACAGCTGCTCTTGAAGAACATAACATCTATGATAGCTTCCAGTCAGGTTTTCGTAGAGCTCATTCTACTGAAACAGCTCTTCTTAGGGTCTCTAATGACCTTCTGACCCGTAGTGATGCAGGGGACTGTTCTGTTCTGGTCCTGCTGGACCTGACTGCAGCCTTTGACACTGTTGACCATCACCTGCTACTGGAGAGGCTGAGAGACTGGGTAGGCCTATCAGGATCTGGTCTGGAGTGGTTCTCCTCTTATCTCTCTGAGATCTCCTTTTCTGTGGACGTCTCCAAGTTTAGGTCCTCCACCACCTCTCTTACCCATGGTGTCCCACAAGGTTCTGTGCTGGGGCCTCTGCTCTTCCTCCTCTATCTGCTTCCTCTTCAGCACATCCTGAGCTCCTTCAAAGGAATCTCCTACCATCTTTATGCAGATGACATCCAACTGTACGTCTCCTTTAAGCCCCATGAGATGTCTAAGCTGCAGCTGTTACACACCTGCTTAGACTCTATCAAAACCTGGATGGTGGGAGCTTTCTTCAGCTGAATGAAGACAAGACTGAGATCCTCATCTGTGCCCCAGACAAGCTGGTTCCCAAAGTCAGAGACTCTCTTGGTCAGCTTGCTTCCCACACCAAACCTTCTGTCAGGAATCTTGGCGTGACCTTTGACCCAGCTCTCATCCTGGATTCTCATGTCAGTTCTCTTGTTGGCTCTTCCTTCTTCCATCTCAGGAACGTTGCTAAGCTGAGTCCCATTCTGTCCCGCTCTGAACTTGAGACAGTTCTCCACACCTTCATCTCCTCACGCTTAGACTACTGTAACTCTCTTTTCACGTGTCTGAGCAGAACCTCCCTGAACCGTCTACAGGTGGTTCAGAACGCCTGTGCTCGGCTTCTGACCAAGTCCTCCAAACACACCCACATCACCCCGCTTCTCCTCCAGCTTCACTGGCTGCCAGTCAACTTCAGGGTTCATTTCAAGATCCTGGTTCTGGTCTATAGGGCCTTACATGGACAAGCACCATCTTACATTGGTGATCTTCTTAGTCCCTACACCCCCAGCAGGTCCCTGAGGTCCAGTGATCAAAGCCTACTGGTTGTGCAGCGCACCAGGCTAAAGGTCAAAGGTGACAGATCATCTGCTGCTGTGGCCCCCAGACTCTGGATCTCTCTCCCCCTGAGCCTGAGATCAGTGGACTCAGTGGTCTCCTTTAAAAAGCAGCTGAAGACTCACTTGTTCAAGCTGGCTTTTGTATGACCTTCTTCACCTCTCTCTCTTTATTCTGCTCTCCCCACCTATTCCACCTTCCTCAGGATCCACTGGTTTGTTTGTTTTATTGTATTTTTTTTTCCTTTTAAATGACCAAAATAAAAGAAATTGAAATTTCCTTCTTTCCTATTCACTCTCAACATTTTTAATCACGATTGTCTATTTTTGCTCATTTTAAATATATTTTTAATAATTTTCTAAATTCTTTATATTTTTACGTTTTTTTGTTTTTATGAAGCGCCTCGTGGTTTTCATCTTGAGACGCTATAGAAATGATACTTTCTTATTTTAAGTTATGCACTTATTCTAAATGTTTATTACATTTTTTTACTTTATTAGAAGTCTGTTTTTGCAGTGTAGCAGCTCAGACCCTGAGCAGGGTCTTCTCCACTGGGGGCACACTTTCAGCAATAACTGGACACAGAACTGAAAGACTGCTGATATTTAATGTGGTACAGCATAGTCTAAGATCATGTTGATGCTGTAGGACAACAATCAGTAAAGAAGGCCGTCTCTCTCTCTCTTTTACACACACACACACACACACACACACACACACACACACACACACACACAGTCGCTGAACAAGAAAGCACTTTGTGTTATTTTCACCAGCCCACACAACAAACCGGGTCTGCAGCACTACACCAACCCAACATGAAGTTGATTTTTATTTTTAACTCCTGAAATGCTTTTATTCTGGTAACAGAGACTTTAGAGTGCAGTTTTCCGTGAACAGTTACAGCTGAGTGCTCAGGTGTAGTCCTGCCCTGCCCATCGGTGTCCTGGTTCATCAGCACAGACCAGTGGTTAGAACAGGAAGCACTCATCAGGGAAAATAAAAATGTGTTTTAGAAGCAAGAGAGCATGAAAAGTGAGAGATATACAGAAGATCTTATTTCTAACAGCTGTTGGGGGATGCTTTAGCTGCATATATGACTGAATGGGCCACTTCCTGGTGCACAAGAGGGATGACCAGTCTGAAGTCAGAACCTGTCCTTATCCTTCCTGCCGCACACGTGTATAATGTACTATCACTACTGATGAATATTCTCCATCGGAATAACCAATGTGTCTGTGTGCGTGTGTGTGTGTGTGTGTGTGTGTGTGTGTGTGTGTGTGTGTGTGTGTGTGTGTGTGTGTGTGTGTGAGAGAGAGAGAGAGACAGCTGAAGGAGTCAACGACCAAACCAGACGATGTGGTAAACACCTCGCTGCTGCAGAGATGGACGCCGGGCAGCACGGTCCAGTCCATCCTGTCTAACTTCCTTCCTGGGTGTATGCGGGCGTTCGGAGGACCAGGCGAGCAGCCAATCACGTTGTCCGAGTGTAACGAGGAGAGCATGCTTCCCTACCGCCGTGCTACAGCATGAACAAACTTAGAGAATGGAGGATTGATGAACATTTTTCAGCCTAACTGGATTCATTTGCACACACAGACATGTACTCACACACGCAGACACAAGCACGCACCCCCTCCCCCCTCATGTTCACAAGCGCATCTAAAATCACCTCTCCCCTAAGCGACCCCACTCATTCCATTGGAACTCATGTGGATTGTGTAGTTCTTCCACGTTTTGTTTTTTACCCTAACCTTTCCTGCACACAACCTCCAGACCTGCACCTGTCTCTGCCCCGCCCCCTCCCTGATGACCGTCCTCCCTCCTGTCGGGGCTGGTACAGTAAAACGTGTGGGTGCAGTCTTTATGCTGAGCTGAGAAAGGGGGAGGGGAGGAGGGGGGAGGCTGCCCCCCTCCCCCCGCTCAGTCATCTTCCAGTCCCTGGTTGAGGAGGAAGTTGGCTGCCAGGTTCTCGTTCTTCTCACAGGCGAAATAGGCCTGGATCACCAGGGCCTCGGGGAAACCCAGTGCTTTTAACTGTGTGGGTCAGAACCGGGGACAGAAGATTAGAACCAGAACACGCCCACCAACCAACCCAAACCCTGCCCCACCTCACCCTTTCTATGGCTTCCTTCTCCTGAGGCGTAACTTGGATGTAGTTGACGGGGGCGCCCTCCTCTCCTGCTGCCCCCATCTCACCAACCTCGGGCGGGTCCCCCCCCTCTCCCACCGGCTCGTTCAGCATCTGGATGAACAGCTCCTGGTGCTGGCTGATTTGCTGGAGGAAGACGACAAACAGGTCATCTGACTGGTAAGCTTTAGGACGTACGCCGGCATCTATCCTCGTCCCGTTAGTCAACTATCTGACTGGACATAAATCCTTTCTGGAAGTTTTAGTCACATCTTTCAACCAGCTGAGTCTATTCCGTTTGTTCTCCGGTTCTGCAAGATGACTACCAAATATGGTCATGGACTTCCAGCTACACACAGAGCCAGGGTTTTGAAGTCCATTTGGAAGAATGCTGAATTTCCGGTGATTTGAGGGATTAAGGCTGGCGTGACAGCAGCTGCAACTCTCAGGCTGCCGACTACTGCTCAAGAAGCCGCAGAAGAAGAAAGCTGTGTGTGTGTGTGTGTGTGCGTGCGTGCGTGTGTGTGTGCATCAGTCAGACGCAGCTAAACTCAACAACACTCGTCTGCATCAGAAATCGGATTAAATCACCGGTAGAACTATTAAAACACATCACTGACGCAGGCTGTTGGACTGAAGCCCTGATGAACTCCGCTGGGACAACGGTCCATCCAAGCTCGGATCAGGTCTGATGTTTAGTGAAAGTTTGGTCCTCCAAGGCTTTGAAATGTTCGTACAAAAATCATTCAGCCAGCAAACTTGTCTAGATTGCTAATTTTACTTTTTCCCCTGAAAGAAAGACAAACACAGAATGCTTGGATGTTGGAGCTTCACGTCAACTCATGTCTCCTAGGGACTGGGGTTGTCACGATACTAAAATTTCAAACTCGATTCGATACTTGAAAAAATACTCGATACTCGATTTCGATGCTATTTAAAAACACCAATTTATTGAACAAGTTTATTCAAAAAATAACATTCCTCAATTAATGTTGCAAAAATTAAATGTTAAGAATTAAGTGTATTAAGTGCTTAAACCTTTCAAGTATCAGTATTTTTTTAAAACGTGCATACAAAAACTGGTGAAAGTTAACACTTTAAATGATGAATTGTCTCACTATATATACACTATCTGCAGAGTGATGTTTTGCTGCTTAAACTCAGTTTAAGGTGCATTTTTAGTACCGCACGTTAGTACCGAAGCAAGTTCCTAGTTTGTGAATTGTTTGTTCACTGACAATGGCAATAAACCTTTTCTGATTCTGATTTTTGTCATAAGATGTAATGCCGTATGTTTTGTTCTGTACTTTTGAACAACTCTGTTGGCCAATAAAGGGAGAAAACTAATTTCTCCACAGTAGGACAAAGGTACATCTACCGGTAATCTTAATAAAAACAGATTGGTGCACGGCAGTGACGTCATTAAAAGCGCCGGTTAGATTAGCCGCGGCTAGTCTGTTCATGCCTAGAAATCCCAGACCCGCTCCAAACGAACAGGGGAATCACGTTAATGATTCCTAACAAAACCTTTTGACATGAAGACGTTTTGGTGCAGATAATGTCTTATTTCGAGGCTGCACCATGGGTGCCCGTCCGCACCTGTTATATGGATATACACTGATGGCGATTCGCCGATGGATCTAAATACCCCGGGGAATCCAAGCAGCACCAAAGTTGTCAGCGTGAGTAAACAAACGTACTGCATGCTAGAAATTAAGTCCGGGTTGCAATAAACGGGAGTTTCCTTTAAGCACATGAGCGTGAATATACAACTACGTGGCGGACTTGGTATGCTAATTAAGTTGGGCTGTGAAGCGCCTCCCAAATTCGCTGTTTATGTTTTTGTTTATTTATTTGGCAGACAAAACTTGGATCGGAGACAACTCGCGTGGGAAATTGCTATGTAGCCATGCGGCGTCTTCTTCTTCTGTTTGTCTGGGAGGCGGAGGCTGCTTTACGGCATCTGGCTGTCGTGCGTGTCGGTGTACTTGAAGAAGGCCGTGTATAATAGTCCATAATATCGATACCACAGGGATGGAATATCTCATTTAGATACCACTTTTAGTATCGATTTTTTTGACAACACTACTAGGGACACCAGTTGTCTGATATAGAGGACGGACTCCCACCATAAAGAGACGGCGTCTGGACCAGACCAAGGCCCGTCTAAATACTAAATTCCGTCTAACTACTAAATTCTGTCTAACTACTAAATTCCGTCTAACTACTAAATTCCGTCTAACTACTAAAGCCTAACTACTAAATTCCGTCTAAATACTAAATTCCGTCGAACTACTAAATTTTGTCTAAATACTAAATTCCGTCTAACTACTAAATTCTGTCTAACTACTAAATTCCGTCTAACTACTAAATTCCGTCTAACTACTAAATTCCGTCTAACTACTAAAGCCTAACTACTAAATTCCGACTAACCAGCTACTAAATTCCGTCTAACTACTAAATTCTGTCTAACTACTAAATTCCGTCTAACTACTAAAGCCTAACTACTAAATTCCGTCTAACTACTAAATTCCATCTAACTACTAAATTCCGTCTAACTACTAAAGCCTAACTACTAAATTCCGTCTAAATACTAAATTCCGTCGAACTACTAAATTTTGTCTAACTACTAAATTCCGTCTAAATACTACATTCCGTCTAACTACTAAATTCTGTCTAACTACTAAATTCCGTCTAACTACTAAATTCCGTCTAACTACTAAATTCCGTCTAACTACTAAAGCCTAACTACTAAATTCCGACTAACCAGCTACTAAATTCCGTCTAACTACTAAATTCTGTCTAACTACTAAATTCCGTCTAACTACTAAAGCCTAACTACTAAATTCCGTCTAACCAGCTACTAAATTCCGTCTAAATACTAAATTCCGTCGAACTACTAAATTTTGTCTAACTACTAAATTCCATCTAACTACTAAATTCCGTCTAACCAGCTACTAAATTCCGTCTAACTACTAAATTCCGTCTAACCAGCTACTAAATTCCGTCTAACCAGCTACTAAATTCCGACTAACCAGCTACTAAATTCCGACTAACCAGCTACTAAATTCCGTCTAACCAGCTATTAAATTCCGACTAACCAGCTACTAAATTCCATCTAACTACTAAATTCCGTCTAACCAGCTACTAAATTCCGACTAACCAGCTACTAAATTCTGTCTAACCAGCTATTAAATTCCGACTAACCAGCTACTAAATTCTGTCTAACTACTAAATTCCGTCTAACTACTAAATTCCGTCTAACTACTAAATTCCGTCTAACTACTAAAGCCTAACTACTAAATTCCGACTAACCAGCTACTAAATTCCGTCTAACTACTAAATTCTGTCTAACTACTAAATTCCGTCTAACTACTAAAGCCTAACTACTAAATTCCGTCTAACTACTAAATTCCATCTAACTACTAAATTCCGTCTAACTACTAAAGCCTAACTACTAAATTCCGTCTAAATACTAAATTCCGTTGAACTACTAAATTCCGTCTAACTACTAAAGCCTAACTACTAAATTCCGACTAACCAGCTACTAAATTCCGTCTAACTACTAAATTCTGTCTAACTACTAAATTCCGTCTAACTACTAAAGCCTAACTACTAAATTCCGTCTAACCAGCTACTAAATTCCGTCTAAATACTAAATTCCGTCGAACTACTAAATTTTGTCTAACTACTAAATTCCATCTAACTACTAAATTCCGTCTAACCAGCTACTAAATTCCGTCTAACTACTAAATTCCGTCTAACCAGCTACTAAATTCCGTCTAACCAGCTACTAAATTCCGACTAACCAGCTACTAAATTCCGTCTAACCAGCTATTAAATTCCGACTAACCAGCTACTAAATTCCATCTAACTACTAAATTCCGTCTAACCAGCTACTAAATTCCGACTAACCAGCTACTAAATTCTGTCTAACCAGCTATTAAATTCCGACTAACCAGCTACTAAATTCTGTCTAACTACTAAATTCCGTCTAACTACTAAATTCCGTCTAACTACTAAATTCCGTCTAACTACTAAAGCCTAACTACTAAATTCCGACTAACCAGCTACTAAATTCCGTCTAACTACTAAATTCTGTCTAACTACTAAATTCCGTCTAACTACTAAAGCCTAACTACTAAATTCCGTCTAACTACTAAATTCCATCTAACTACTAAATTCCGTCTAACTACTAAAGCCTAACTACTAAATTCCGTCTAAATACTAAATTCCGTCGAACTACTAAATTTTGTCTAACTACTAAATTCCGTCTAAATACTACATTCCGTCTAACTACTAAATTCTGTCTAACTACTAAATTCCGTCTAACTACTAAATTCCGTCTAACTACTAAATTCCGTCTAACTACTAAAGCCTAACTACTAAATTCCGACTAACCAGCTACTAAATTCCGTCTAACTACTAAATTCTGTCTAACTACTAAATTCCGTCTAACTACTAAAGCCTAACTACTAAATTCCGTCTAACCAGCTACTAAATTCCGTCTAAATACTAAATTCCGTCGAACTACTAAATTTTGTCTAACTACTAAATTCCATCTAACTACTAAATTCCGTCTAACCAGCTACTAAATTCCGTCTAACTACTAAATTCCGTCTAACCAGCTACTAAATTCCGTCTAACCAGCTACTAAATTCCGACTAACCAGCTACTAAATTCCGTCTAACCAGCTATTAAATTCCGACTAACCAGCTACTAAATTCCATCTAACTACTAAATTCCGTCTAACCAGCTACTAAATTCCGACTAACCAGCTACTAAATTCTGTCTAACCAGCTATTAAATTCCGACTAACCAGCTACTAAATTCCGACTAACTACTAAATTCCGACTAACTACTAAATTCCGACTAACTACTAAATTCCATCTAACTAACTGCTAAAGCCTGTTCATTATGTTGTTCTACTTGTTTGCTGTGAGGTTAATACTTTGTAAATGTGTACATTAATATAAACAAACAATAAACATCACTCTCTGTTAGACGTAACGGTCGAGACAGCCTTGCAGACATTTATTGCATCCTGTAGGTAAACACACACAACAGGCTCAGATCAGGATGATCCAGCATGCTTCTCCTCCATTCTGGCTTTCACCTGATGTATTTATTCAGAATGCAGGTCAGATTATTATTATTATTATTATTATTATTATTATTGTTATATTTGTCAACAACGCAGACTGATCTTGGGGATTTCTCTGCAGCACTGATTTCATCCTGTGTGTACACGTTACCGGGAATGACCACGGTTACAGCTAAACACACCTTTAGGGAAGATGCAGACAATAACAACGTTAAGTTGTAAGCATTACAATTATAGTGATCACATATTAAACACGGGAGAAATGTACTACATTTGTGACTAGATGTCTTCTCAACTATAATAAGCATCCAGTTATTTATGCTGGAATCTCAAACCTACAATTAAATGAAAATATAAATGTTTTTTATCCATTTTCAGCCATTAAGACATCAAAGAATAGCTGTGATGTCATTTGTTGACATTTTATGAACAGAAATAACTCCTTAGACGTCAATTTCACAGCTACTTTCCTGGTATTGATGGAGCCATTATCTGTGTGTGTGTGTGTGTGTGTGTGTGTGTGTGGGGGGGTCCCTTTGACAGTGCGGGGGAGGGGGGGTGTAATGAGGGCGTGTACATTCAGACAAACGTGTGTGAAACAGCTGGCTGGACAACTCTCGCCACGTTTTAAAAATGCTAATATAACGTTTCTGCTACGGTGAATTATGATTTCTCTATAAAACTACTAAAATATCCGACTGGGGTGGAGGGTAAGGTCTGCTCTGTGGAAGGGGGCGGGGTCTTCAGATCTTCCTCCAGGTTTAAAGAGACAGTACCAAAACGGCTCGTTTTCAGAGTCTATCAGAGGAGGGGCAACCATGAGGAAATCAGACCCAAGAACTGCAGTTCCACTGTATTTGGACCCCAACTGAATGATTTAGATGCAAAAAAGAAGAATTTAAAAGAACAGATCTCCTTTAGGACGCAGATTTCCATCTGCAGGTGGCACCATTGGCGAGTAAGCCTATGGAAGGCCAACATCACTGAGAATAAGAGACGGGTACACCAGTGTGAGAACGGAGCGCGTTACCTGTAGGAGTTGAGGGTTCTCACGACCGAGCTGCTGGAGCAGAGCTGGGAGCAGAGCCGGGTTCTGCTGGATGGCCTGTCTCATGTGCAGAAACTGGGGCTGTGTGCGCAGGAATGCAAGTGGGTTTTCTCCTGACCAGGAACAAGAACAAAGTGTTACAGAACAGGAACCCTACGGCTGAGAGCTGAACAGAGCTCGGGCCTTCACACCAGACACCACAGACCAAGCTAGAGAAGCACCTGAAATCTGGTGACTGTAGCTGGAAAACTGGAGATGAGCCGCTAATAAAACCCCAGGAGTCCTCAACCAATCAGAAGGCTGCAGCGCCGCTAGCCCCGCCCTAAAGGTCGGGTATGAGCCGAGTACAGAAATGGTCAGTAGTTGTTACCTGTCTGACCATCTGTCCGACACCGGTTTCCTGGTTCAGAACCAGCGCCTAGTCCAGCACTGTGTGTGTGTGTGTGTGTGCGTGCGTGCGTGCGTGCGTGTGTGTGTGTGTGTGCGTGCGTGCGTGTGTGCGTGTGTGTGTGTGTGTGTGTGCGTAACGAAACCGTCAGCAAGGTAAAGACAAACCTTATCTGTGTTTAAAAAAGAACCAAAAGTGGAACGTGTTGTTGATGTTTCTACTGTTCCACTACATGGAGCTGTATTCTACACAGGGTCCACGTGAACACGTACCCATGTACATGCCAACCACACACACGTGTACATGCATCTGTGCGTGTGAGCATGCATGTTCTGACGCATGACTACATTCATACCAGTTCTAGTCAGACATCCACACTGACGACCTTCAGTCCACTCAGCTGACCAAGTCTGTGGATAAGACCCAGCTGAATGGCGTGGTTAAAAGATAAATGACCTGCAGGTCTGAGTCAGAGGACTCCAAGTGCTTTACGCTACAGCGAGTGGACAGGACTGGTAACTGGTTAGGGTTACTGGCTACAGGCAGCTGTAGAAACTGTAAAGGTGAGCACCCCGAATGAGAAAACAAACAAAGGAAAAGGGAAAACGTCCCTCCTGCTGCTGGTGCCGTCGCTTGTTTAGAACATCAGGCAGACAATCACACGTGGTCCTACCTTCTGCTAAAGATGGGGCCTCTGTGGGTCCAGATGTGGGGGCCTGCGCTGGTGGATTACTCTCCTGAACTGGGATGCTGGGGATACCCTGGTAACAATAATGTCATCATCAAACACACACCTGACTTTCTGCAGGTTGAAGCACACACACACACAGAAGAGCTCAGGTCACTCCTATTCTGATGTCTCTGCACTGGTTACCCACAAACTTCAGAGTCCTGACTAGAACCTTCAGGGCTCTACATGGTCAAGCTCCTCCCTACATTACTGACCTGTTAAAGCTCCGACCCGAGCCCTCCGGTCCACCCACCAGAACCTTCTAGAAGTTCCAAAGACCAGATATAAAAGTCCAGGTGATCGCTCCTTCTAGACTGTTGCACCTTTTCTTTTCTTATTTTTATCTCAAATTCGTAATCATCTTTCATTTGTTTCATGGTGTTTAGGAATTTTATGACTGCCGTAGTCTATTTCTGTTTTGAGATCATGGTTGTATTTAGTTTTGATCTATGTGAATCTATGTGTGTGACGAGTGCGCTACAAATGTCATGTACTTCCATGCTTTATCAGATTTAAAGCCTCGGGTGTTCCTGGATGAAAAATGAAAGTGTGGGATTCCCTCCAACCGGAGAAACGCTATACGAGGCTGGTTTCTAGGGGGTCACATGGAGCCGTTGTGACCTGACGGCATCTTACCTGCAGTAGAAAATAGTCAGCTTTAAGTTACTCAGAGCAAAAACCACCCAGCAACCCAGTTCCCTGCTGGAGAACATGCAGGAGCCAGAGAGCAGATGACCTGTGGGTCTGCCTTTACTGAACCACACAGAGACGGAGGTGATACCGAACCTGAGGACTCCATAAGGGGCTCGACACACGGGAGGCGACAGATGACCGCAATCAGCAAAATTCGTCGCTGTCGCGTTTATTACCTGACACACGGGAGCCGATCCGCGGCAGCGGCAAAGCTACGCGTCTACGCGTTCTGTCCCACGGTGAAATCGAAACTTCCGTTGTTTTGTTTGGCTGTGTCAGGTTGGAGGGAATGAAGGTTATTTAAGCGGTTCAGAGTTAATAAAGCGGTAGATATGATGTTTCACAAGGTGCTGCTAGAGTTATGTGAAATCTTACTTCTGATTTTACTATAAAACATAATAATAATCAACTTCTCCTCCATGTTTGCTCGGAGGAGCATCCTGTCCGCTCATTGGTCAGTGAATGAAACCTCCGTTGATTGGTCCTCGTCCGAGCGACAGCGATGAAGTTAAAATATTTCAACTTTCTGGGATCGCGTCGCTGGGTCGCCTGTGCACGACACGTGCACGAGCGCAAAATTTCACACGCACGTTTTTCGCGTTTCGCTTGGTAGGAGGGAGACCCGCGATTATCGCTTTGTCACGCATGTCTCATTGAAAATGAATGGAGGAGAGTAGGGCTGCTCAATTAATCGAATTTTAATCACGATTACGATCTGAGTTTTAAACGATTATAAAAAACAAAACAAGCCGATTATTTGCTCCTCCCACTTGCGCTGCCCTGAGTTGCAAATGAAGCGCTCCTCCACAGTGTTGCCAACTTAGCGACTTTGACGCTATTTCTAGCAGATTTTCAGACCCCCTTCTTGACTTTTTAACTTAAAAGTACCTAGTGAACACCTCAGAAACATCTCTGGTAACCCTTAGCTACTTTCTGGATAACTGTCGTCGACATTTCCTGCAGGTTAGCTAAACACTCCGCCTGCGCTCCGGACCGTTCTTCAGGACATTAGGAAAGGGAATGATGTAGTGATGTGTCGGTCGCTAAAGAAACAGCTCTCGGAGCCGGCTCCTTGTTGGAGTAACCAGAGTGAGTGACACACACCGCACCTGCGGACTCCTGAGCCGCTAAAAACGGCTAAATGTGTGCGTGCGGCGCGCTAAACACACGTGCAGCTTGCCCCGATTGCTGTGAGACCGGTTTGGGGGGTGGGGGGTGCAGCTGTGGTTGGGACAATTATTACATTAACTGATGGACTTGTAAATAAATAGTTTATAAATAAGGTAGAAATAAGTTCCTCACACTGATAACTAATAACTAATCTCTCTGAGGACACGGTGCTAGTGCACTCTCCTACAGCACCTTGACACGACTCAATAAATGTTATGCAACATTTTGTGAACATCAGTTTATTTGCATGTATTTGTTATAAATGCCACTGTATAATTCTTGCTGTCAGTATTTGCAAGATATTGGTATTTGGGTCTGTACTGGTTAGACTTAAATGAGTTAAACCAAGGTCTATAGTCCTTGGGTCATAGACTATGAGCTATAAGTATATTGGTCTTTTTATCCTGGGAATCAGGAGTTATTTTAGTGATCATCTTGTTTCTTATTTATTTTTGTCCTGATTGTGCCCTGAGCAGTTTTATGACTGAATAAAAACAAATAAAATCAACATAGATAGAAAAATCGTCTAAAATAATCGTGATCTCAATTTCAGTCACCATAATCGTGATTATTATTTTTGCCATAATCGAGCAGCCCTAGAGGAGAGGCGATGTCGCCTCCCGTGTGGCGAGCCCCTAACAGGTTACAAAGTTCATTAGAACGAGTCTGATATTAGAGCATCCTGGTGCAATGCGCTGAACTTTTATGAATGACTCGATTAGGCGACTAATGAAATAGTCGTTTGTGGCAGCCCTACATAGGTCATATGTAGAAGCTGGCATGTGGACAGTCATCCTCCAGCGTTATGTCATCGTTGTCCTTTCACTCCCGTTTTCTCTCATGAACACCATAACTGGTCTGTTTCCTTCATATAACTCATGTTTAAATCATGTCCTTGAGCCAGGGTCCCTGTTGGACTTAGTAAGGTGGAAGTGCCACACCTGGAGCTAGAGTCTGCTGCCTGCATGTTTTAGATCAGGAACATAGCTGATTTGTTAGATTTAGTGATGAACTGCTCCTGTAGACACTAATGAAGGCTGGGGAGACGTGTCAGCTGTTAGATTAAGGTGTTAAAAACAAACGCACAGCTAGGAGATAGGGTTCACTTTTGCTCTAAAGGACACTAGGGGGTGCTAAAGGAAAGCCAAGACTGCCTAGCACCCCTTTAAGCCTCTGATTGTTTGGTTTCTGTCTGAAAAAACCCTAACGTCCAAGCCGTCCAGATGAGTGTGTGGGACCTACAGTGAGGAGGTACTCCACAGCTCTGTGGGGGTTGTTGAAGCTGGCTCGTAGCGCTGCCACCACCCTCTCCCGCTCGTAGCCCATGGACATGATCTCCGTCAGCATGGCCTCGTACTCGGCTCCTGTCACTGAGAGCAGACACACACCAGGTAAATGTCACAAACTCACCTGAAAGGGTCGGCCATGCTCCTACTGACGCAGCACTTTGCTGCTCTGACTCAGTCACAGACGTCTCAGCACGCATTTATTTAAACAGGAACATGTTCTCTTTTACCAACGTGACCTGGCCGAGAGCCTCGGAAAACAGTACATGTTCATCAAAACGAGTCCAAGTCACGCAAACTCCGATTGTAATTACGGCGATTGTAAACAGTCAGCACGGTCAACGTTCCTCCATCCATCCTCTTCTGCTTATACGGAGTCGGGTCGCGGGGACAACGGCGTAAGTGGAGAGGCCCAGACTTCCCGCTCCCCGGCTACCTGGGCCAGGTCTTCTGCGGGAGTCCTAAGGCGTTTCTTGGCCAGGAGAGACACAATCCCTCCAGCATGTCCTGGGTCTCCCTTTAGGTCTCCTAGTTGGACGTGCCCAGGAAACCTCACCCTCAGACTCTGGACCTCTCTCCCCCTGAGCCTGAGATCAGTGGACTCAGTGGTCTCCTTTAAACTCACCTGTTCAGGTTTGGTGGGACCTTCATCACCTCCCTCTCCTGGTTCTGCTCTTGTTCCAACTTTGCTGGAATCCACTGAATTCCCTCTCCTATTTGTTTTCTCTCTTCCTTTCCTTACATGATCACTTTTATAATCACAATTTTTAATATTTTTCCCTCACTTTAAACACCAAAGTGTTCCTAATATGTGTTCAATAAAATGAAATGTTAATTTTGCCCTGACTCATCAAAAGCAAGAGCTGCTGAGGGTCTCCGGTTATCAGGCAACACAACCATATTTTCCCTGACTAGCGTTTGTTTTGGGACTGCACGACTACAACCAATCCAAATATTCAGTGTCAACGTGCTGATGTAACTTTTAGGAACGAAGTCCTACGTCCATCCAATCATCCAGTGTGCCGTCACTGGCAGGGGCAGGACCCAGCAGATGCAGCAGCTGCAGCGGGCAGACACGGTCGATGTGAAACCGATAGTTAGGGTACGTTACATAATCCATATGAATATTCCAGCGATTAGGAAAGAGAATGACTAAAAAGGGAACACTTTACTTTAGAAATCCGTACGAACGTACAATTTTTACATTTATTCTGTGGTAAAAACAGAGTTGATGAACAAACTAAACGTTTGAGTAGGGCTGTCGCAGTAACCGCAAAAATGAAATATCGCAATATGAAGAAGCCCACCGCGCTGCATCATGCGCCACCGCGATTACTGAACTTGGTTCAACTCAATGATGCATGTTGAGAAGGACGCCTGCACTGGTATCAAAACGAAACGTTACTTCGCTCCTTTGGGAGCCCTTTGGTTTTCAGTACGTCAGCTGCTGCGCAGCCAGAGTCCTTGGCCGAACAGAGCTGCCACCAGCGGCAAAAAAAAAAAAAAAAAAAAAAACGCTCGGAGACCTGCTGAAGTCCCGGACAAGCACTGCTTCTGCAACCGTCCCGATGAGAGTTTGAGCCGAGCTGGAGCTCACTCGCTACCTGCAGGAGGAATGCATCCACCCTAAAGAAACCCCCCTGACATGGTGGAGCAACAACCGGGAGAGATTCCCTTTGCTCGCCAGAGTCGCACGCAGGTACGTGTGCGTTGGTGCAACGAGCGCACCATCCGAGAGGGTTTTCAGTGTTGCTCGAAATGTTGCCCCCCCTCTCAGATCCTCTCTCAAACCGTATATGGTTAACATGCTGGTTTTCCTTGTAGGTAACAAGGACGTGACCGAGCTATAAATCACCGTCATTCGTGTGTGTGAAAGTGAAATGATAGTGCGCCCGCCCCCCCCCCCCCCCACCCACCCCCGGCGCGCGCGCGCCCGGTACATGTAATTTTTTATGCTTGATTTTAAACAACTAAACAAAATGGGGACTTGTTTATTATTTGTTAGATGCTGCAGCCAAATTTGCATTTAAAAGTTTAACCTTCTCCTGAATGTTGTTGTTTTAAAGTTCAGTCGGACTCCAACTGTCAGAGAAACAAACGTTACTGCGATCTGTGTTGTTACTGCCCTTTGATCTGCATTCAGTAAAGTGTTATAAAAGAAGGCACGGCAATTTTTAACCTTTTTTAAATGTGTAAACATTATGTTTAGATAGTACTGCAATAAAAAAGTGCTGCAATAATATCGCACACTGCAATATTAAGCCACCCTGAATCACCGCAGGGGGAATTCCTCAACCGCGACAGCCCTACGTTTGAGAACGATCATCTCAAAAGGCTGAAGCACACTTCTGAATCATTGAACTACTAAAAACAAACCTAATCAGTCTGGAAGTTAAATGTTCCACATGGAGGAGGTCATCCAGCACTTAGTGATGATGAGGTTTCTTCTGACTACGAATGTTGTAACTTCACAAAAACACTCGAAGGCTTTGAAGGGAACATGGAAGCTCCTGTAGCCCAGGCTCGGTCTGATGTCCCTAAGCAGGGGACCTCAGGACACTGTCCTGCTGCCACACGCCTGATGAAATGAATGAGTGATTAACAGGCATCTGCAGCACTTGATGTCCTCCTGAGGAGGCACTGTTAGTCAGGTGTGCTGCAGCAGAGACATGGAAACATCCATGTGTGTGTGTGTGTATATACACACACACACATATATATATATATATATATATGTGTGTATATATATACATACATATATATATACATACACATATATATATATATATGTGTGTGTATGTATATATATATATATATATATATATATATATATACATATATATATATGTATATATATACACACATATATATACACACACATAAATATATATATATATATACATATATATACACACACATAAATATATATATATATATATATATATATATATACTTACATATATATATATATATATATATATATATATATATATATATACATACATATATATGTATGTATATATATATATATATATGTGTATATATATATATATACATAGATATATATGTATGTATATATATATATATACATATATACATACATATATATGTATGTATATATGTATATATATATATATATATATACATATATACATACATATATATGTATGTATATATATGTGTGTGTATATACATATATATGTATGTATGTATATGTATATATACATACATACATATATATGTATGTATGTATATGTATATATACACATATACACATATACATATATATACATATATTATAGGGCTGCAGCTATCGAATATTTTTGTAATCGAGTACTCTATCGAATCTTTTTTTCGATTAATCGAGTACTCTAATAAATTACCCTTTTGTGTTTGTAAACCTTTATATCATATATTGATGAGCCAAGATGGCGCCGAGTATGGCTGCCTCGTCGCGAGCTCCACCAAGTTCCAACATTACACGCTCCATACTGTACATTAATGCCACTGTTTTGCACATACCAACCTCTGTACATTTTATATCTCTTATCTTATTGTTTACTTTATTCATTTGTATACTTAGATTAGCCATTTTTATATTTTAATTGTTTTTACATTACTGTATTTTTGCACAACTCTATTGCTGTGAAACTCGCACACAAGAATTTCACTCTCATGTACTGTACCAGTGTACCTGCACATGTGACGTGACAATAAAAGTGATTTGATTTGATATCAAATAGCATGTTATAATTATGAAAAACCTCTTAAAATGAGCAAGCAATTGCCAGTTATTCAAGTTTTATTCAAAATTAGTTTGCATAACTTCAGCACTTCAACTTTACTTCGCAGTAAACAAATGCGTGTGCAAAAAATAAGTAAACCTGAGCCGATTTTCCCCTCGTGCGAGAATCTGCTAGCCTGCAAGCCAGACAAAAACTAGGAGGATAACGCTGCGAGCGGCTGCGGCCCAAACAGAACCAGAACCGCTCACGGCGCAAACAGCTCGCCGGCTGTTTCCCTATTAACACACGTCCGTTTTAATTTCCACACTTTTTTTCTCACACTAACAAGGATTGCCAAAAGCATGTTTGCTGTGGTTTTGTCAAATTATACTGATCACAAAACATGTATTTACTTTCTTTCGTTTTCCTCCGCCACTCATAAATACCCGTGTCCTCCTGCAGAAACCCCGAGGGACAACAGACATCAATAACACAATAAAAAGTGACGTGTTGTGTAAAAACTGCTATTTTTAGCACATTTTAAGCCCGACGTGTTGCTACCAGATGTACGGTGTGAGCTGAAACTGAGCGCTACAAATGAAAAAGTCGCACAGTGTCCGCAGAATATATAGAAAAACAGGCTAAAAAGCATTATCTTGTAGAGGCTCTGAGTCCGCTTGCAGAAGTGACATTTACAGGCGCTGCAGCACGGAGGATGTGGTGTTGTGCTAGGCTAAATCCATTTTACAGTATTTATACTGGACTACGTTTTCCGCCTAACGACGTGAAAAATGGTTCCACAACTTTGACATTTTCTGTCTTTTTCGCACTCCACCGGGGTCCACGTTGTCCGCCATGGCTTAAGAGAAAGTTAAGTTACATTCGCCACTCGCGTGTGCATTCAGTCCAGTGGGCATGTGCGTCACTTATTTCGGTCCGGGTGAAACATGACCCCGGGCGACTGCAAAGCCATGAATTAATTAAATATGAATTAAACGAATCCTCGAGGCAGAGAATTTGACTCGAGGATTTTTTGTACTCGAATTATTCGAGGTACTCGAGGAATCGTTTCAGCTCTAATATATTACATATATATATGTGTATATATATATACGTATATATATACATATACATATATACATATATATATACATATACATATATACATATATATATACATATATATGTATATATGTATATGTATATATATACGTATATATATATACATATATATACACACACATAAATATATATATATATATATACTTACATATATATATATATGTATATATATATACACATATATATACATACATATATATCTATGTATATATATATATATATATATGTGTATATATATATACACAGATATATATGTATGTATATATATGTATGTATGTATATGTATATATACATACATACATATATATGTATGTATGTATATGTATATATACACATATATACATATACATACATATACATATATTACATATATATATGTGTATATATATACGTATATATATACATATACATATATACATATATATACATATATAGATATATGTATATGTATATATATACGTATATATATATATATATATATACATATATACATATACATAAATACATAATATATATGTATGTATATTTGGCTTTAATGATCGGCTTTAGATATCTGCAACAAAATTCTTTAAAAATCTGCATTGGCCTTAAAAAACCCACATCGGTTGGCCTCTATCCTGGACCCTTCCTAGTCTGGACCATGAGTTAACCAGATGGGAATCCCCATCATGCCGTGTGACACCACAGCCAGACAGGGGTTGCTTTTGTCACCATCTAATTATAGAAACAGTCAGTAGCTTGTAAAGCTGTTGACTGACAGCAGCAACAACTGCTGGCTGAGCGCCTGGTACTCACCTGCCTCTAAATGTTTTCAGCTGAGAAACAGAGTAACCCAACAGCGAGCTAATCAATATAATAATAATAATGATGATGATGATGATGGTAGGAATAACAAAAACAACCTACCAAGTGCTGAGGAAGCATCCAGGCCCAGAGTCCCACCACTGGAGCTGCAGATGAAGGAGGTGGAGAAGAAAGAAACAGCTGACTCAGAACGGGTCTTCCACACTGGACTGAGACCAGATATTACTCCACACAAACAAAAAACTATATTTCAATGTTGGAAATATGATGAATCAGCTATAAACGAGCTCTCAGCTAAAGCAGAAATGCAGGTTTGTGGCCGATCCTGATCCACGGCTCTTCTACAGCGCTGACCCGCTGGTGTCAGCTCATCATACAGAACCAACTACCAACACAGTCCAGCACCACGAGCCCCATCATCGTCAGGGTACTGGCTCAGCCGGCCGACTGCTCCGGGCATCTTCACCTCAGCGGGGAACCTTAAAGACTCACTTCAGCTCTGAACGGCTGTCATCACAATACACCGATGCCGTGTTTTCCACAGAAACTGGCCGATAATTACCGGCGGTTGATTGATGACACACTCTGGTTATTGAACGTGAACACTAACAGCCGCCACATTTCTAAAGTGGAAGGTAAATAGAAACCTGCACCATGACGAGTTAAAGTGAATAAGAAGTGCGTGGTAGAAGCTGCTAACATGCCTGCTGGTCTCCTGTAAAGGCCGTGGAGAGGAGGAACTTCAGCAACGTGGCGCTACGATTCTGGAGCTAAGATGGTTTTTTGGTTTTACGAATGAAAGCAGTGACAATGAAAAGGAACCAAAAACGAGTGGTTCTGCGACCGACTTGTTCTTGATAAGAGCCGCCAGTCAAGCTTGTGTCCCAACCATCGGCTGCACGCGCCATCCAGCAGCAAGGGTCAGCTTTAAATATGAATGTAACGGCCATTAAGGACCACGAGTCGTCCAACAACCAATCATCTCTGCGCCAAACTGAATCTATTAGATTACGGGTAGATACACACCTGCTGCACCGCAGAACGTCCAGGCGCGTCCCGGGAGCCTCTCTCCACTAACGACAGGACAGAGTTCTGTCTCTGCAGCAACACGCTTCTCGGACGCACCACGCTCTGTAACTGACTAAAGGCTAGACAGGAAATCACACCGTCTCAGGAAAAACAGTCAGCAGTAGGCGGACGGCTCTTCTGCTTCCTGCTTCTTTGGAGGAGAGCAATGATGAGTTTTTCAGCATGAACGAGGTTTTTATTCTAAAGGCGGAAAACCACTTGTCCAAATGGAGAAGGAATGAAAACCATCATCAGCGTGGACGGTGAGTTTAAAACTCTTAAAGATGTCTGAAGGCACGCCGCCAGTTCTGCTGTGAGTTTGTGATCTCACCTGTCAGACTGCGTGGACCGCAGCTGACACGCTTCCAGTGTGAATTCATGTGTTGTGAAGCGTACGCATGAACATAAGGCACCACAGACGATTATATATATATATATATATATATATATATATATATATATATATAAACACTAGGGGTGTTCCAAAAAGGGTACTTCACGATTCGATTCTGATTATGGGAGCTTCGATGCTTCGATTATAATGATTTTTGGTTCGATTCGATTACTGGTGCCACGATTCTTCAATTATTGACATTTTTAATGCTTTTTCTTTATTTACATTTGTAAATAAATAACCTATCAATTACTTCAGTTCCTCTAAAACTACTCTCTGTTAGTAAATACATTTTTTTAACATTTAACTATTTTTCAAAGACAAATTCTCATTTTATGACTGTGTGACGTGTAAATTTTGCACTTTGACCAACTTAACTTCGATCAGGGAAAGTTTTACTTACATTAGTGTCCCCTCCATTGTTGGGAAACACTGAAAACAGGCAAGCCCTGGATTTATTCAGGTAAACAAGATTTTTACTTCCATCAAATTTATTTAATGGAAACTTAATGAGTCTGGCATACGATAACATTATAAAAAAGCTGCCATACAGATCAAACGTGCATTCCTCAAAATAAAATAATTCAGCTTATTCAGTCTGGAATATAGGCAACAGAAAAAACCTGCTATATCTGAAGGTAATATGTTTTCAGAACATACGTGCATAATTCAACTGAACATATATGCAGCCTGCAGCTTCAGTACAGTGAGGCGAACACAACAAGATAGAGCAGAGTGACGCTCAAACTCCCTCCCCTCCCTCTTGTCCCCCTACATCCTCCTGTTTTGGGGGGGGGGGGCAAATGTCAACATGGTGCTACTTTGACTCTCACTCATCTCTCGAGTTTGAAGAACGTGACTCACCAACTTCCACCCGTTCTAGTCAGACGCGAGAACAAAATGTGCCGTTACAGTAACGAAGGATTTGGTGGCAACCGATGTCCACGCATCGCATGTGAGCGCTATCCCGGTTGCCTAACCCTCTTCGTGGACTCCAGAACGCTAGCTTTGGTTTCCTCGTAGAGGTGGGGACTTCTTTTTCTGCGAAATGTTTTTGGTGAGGAAGTTTACAGCGCGGCTCCGTGGTGCGCACCACAAACCGAAACCCCCTGTTGTTTACTACTGAATAGATCCGTCGCGATTAAAGTAGCTATTGCTTTTGTAACGCTCCTCGCCTTCTCAGAGTTCTTCGGTAGTTTGGAGACAGTCTCCAGGATGGAGAAAGAGGTCAAAGAGGTTGTGCCACTCACTAAACAGTCCGGCCGGCGTGCGCGTTAAGGCTCCGGTTACGTGGTTTTTTAGTACCGGCGTCGCAACAAAACTTTATGTTCTTTTAAGCATCGACGTTCATTAATCGATGTCGAAACAACAGGTTACGCTTTTAGATGCATCGCCACATCGATTAATTGCACCCACCCCTAATCAACTCCCACACTTTACAAAAGCTTGCTACGCCTCTGTGCGCACACGTTCTCATCCTCCTCTACCCTACAGCTCTCACAAATGGAAGACAGCAGCAAAACAGTCCCGAGCGCGCTGTATTTGGGACACTAACCCAAACCCTTTCCTGGATTGTTACCTCTGCGATGTTCTCTGTGCATAACGTGTAAAATATTCGTCAATATCAAACAAATAAATAAACAAATCGCCTCCTGTAACAAACAACCGTTAACGGCTCAGCCCATCGCCCCACCATAGTTTGTACATCACGTATTTTTGCTCTACTTACAGACTAGTGATTTATTTCATCCTGCTGCGTTACGTGTTAATAACAGTGCTCCTCTTCTCCTGCACACCTCAGCAAGCTAACGTCCTGACCGAGGCCGTTGAAGCATGTTGTTGTTAGCCTCAAGGGCAACATGCCCATTATCACTTGTTAGTCGCTTTGGACAAAAGCGTCTGCTTAATACATAAACATGTTGGTCACCAGAACAACAAGAAACTAATATTTTCAAAGCCTAAAACTTTTTCTTTGTGTTAAATCAAACTAGTTTATGTGATAAAACAGAATTACTAATCTGGTAAATAAACTAACTTTAATGTCTGTTATCTTTACGGTAAAGCAGACCCTCAGAGCTGTCGATGGTCCCGGACTAGTGCTGGGTATTCTGGCCAACTTCCTACATCCATTTGATTTTGATTCATGAGGCTCTGAATTGATTGATGATGATTTGATTCAGTCTTGTCTTAAATAATTAAAATGCTGAGGTAGGAAGTGACGTTTCTATCATTTAGACGAGCTTCTTCACATTAAGTCAGGGGTGTCAGACTCAAATTCAGACTGGGCCAAAATGAAAAACTGGGACAGCATCGCAGGCCAAACTCAGTATTATGAGAAGTTATGGCAAATGTGCACATTTTACTTTACAGATATGTGTTGTTGAACCCTTTCATTTGGAAAAAAAATGTAGGTCACAGGGAAGTGCAGAAATGCTGCGGGTCGGCGAAACAGACAAACGGGTTGTCCAATCGTTGCTTTCGGTCCAAAAGTAACGATTGGCTGAGGTTTTTAGACAAATGCAAGAGAACCAGTTCATTAGTTTTTTTTATCTCTACAATATATTTATAGCTACGCTAGTATGTTGCTAAGAGACAAAAAATGTTTAAGCTAATTTGTTTTCCAAATTAAGGAATGCAGCTTTAATGATGTTGCAGTTTAACACTAAATCTGGAATAAACAAAATACACACGGACAAGTTCATATGAAATAAAACACATCAGCGTAGGGCTGGGGAAAAAATCGAAAATGTGTAGAAATGTATGACTCTTATGGAGATGATCTTCCCCATGTCAATGAATCTGATATTAAAAAATGAAAAGGTGTGTGTAGGTGTGCAGATTGAGCTGGGTGCGTGTCGGGGAGGACACACACAAACGGCAGCGGCCACAAACTCCGTCTGGCTGTTGGTGCGCTTCTATGTCCGCCGCGGCCCGCCAGCAAGTTACGGAGATGTTGAGATCTAATCCCACAGATGGTAGCTTCGCCCCATTGGCTCCTCAGCCAAGCACATACACCACATGTCTGAACCTGCGGTTCCTCTCATACTGAGCAGGATTACTATTGCAACAACACATCATCAGTAGGGTAAAACTAACCTGTCTCACGACGGTCTAAACCCAGCTCACGTTCCCCATTAGTGGGTGAACAATCCAACACGGGATTTCCAGGACTCAAAGTTGACAAAGCGCCGAGTAAACTAGGTGCCGAGCAAACTAGGCGCCGAGCAAACTAGGTGCCGAGCAAACTAGGCGCCGAGCAAACTAGGCGCCGAGCAAACTAGGCGCCGAGCAAACTAGGCGCCGAGCAAACTAGGCGCCGAGCAAACTAGGCGCCGAGCAAACTAGGCGCCGAGCAAACTAGGCGCAGAGCAAACTAGGCGCAGAGCAAACTAGGCGCCGAGCAAACTAGGTGCCGAGCAAACTAGGTGCCGAGCAAACTAGGCGCCGAGCAAACTAGGCGCCGAGCAAACTAGGCGCCGAGCAAACTAGGCGCCGAGCAAACTAGGCGCCGAGCAAACTAGGCGCAGAGCAAACTAGGCGCAGAGCAAACTAGGCGCAGAGCAAACTAGGTGCCGAGCAAACTAGGTGCCGAGCAAACTAGGTGCCGAGTAAACTAGGTGCCGAGCAAACTAGGTGCCGAGTAAACTAGGTGCCGAGTAAACTAGGTGCCGAGCAAACTAGGTGCCGAGTAAACTAGGTGCCGAGTAAACTAGGTGCCGAGCAAACTAGGCGCAGAGCAAACTGGTTGCCGAGTAAACTAGGTGCCGAGTGAACTAGGTGCCGAGTAAACTAGGTGCCGAGTAAACTGGTTGCCGAGTAAACTAGGTGCCGAGTAAACTAGGTGCCGAGTAAACTAGGTGCCGAGTAAACTGGTTGCCGAGTAAACTAGGTGCCGAGTAAACTAGGTGCCGAGTAAACTAGGTGCCGAGTAAACTAGGTGCCGAGTAAACTGGTTGCCGAGTAAACTAGGTGCCGAGTAAACTAGGTGCCGAGTAAACTAGGTGCCGAGTAAAATGCGTGTCTTCAGTTTGTCCCAGACTGAAGAGGGTAACGCTGCAGATGCAGGTCCAAGTACGGACGCTAATGACTGTTAACAGAAAGGAAGAGCGCTTCGGCTGACGCGCTGATGCCACAAAGCACCATGGGATTTGTAGTCTTTGTAGAAAAAAATGAGCCGGTGGGCAACATTGGTTCAAAGTGAAATAAAATCGATACTAGGCCTAATGAATCAATTTTACTAAATTTATATGAAATCGATTAAATCCATTTTTTCACCCAACCCTACTGCTGACGTGTGGACCAGCCGTGCTACAGAGGAGTACCTCGGTGTGTCCTGCCATTTCCTGAGTTAAGATTGGAAGATGAAGCGCTTCAACCTCACCACCATGCCTCTGGTGAACACAAGTCATGTTTGGTTTTAGGTGCCTACCTTCATCTGACTGCAGCATTTGTATTTACAGGTTAAAAAGTTAATTAAAACTTGTTTGATAAGCCATCATCTGGTCTTTATTACTAGACGGCACATAGCTGACCACACTTCAGACTAGAAGCTAATGATGGTAAATTAGAGCATCCTGGTGCAACAAGCTAAACCTTTATTGATGACACGATTAGTCGACTATTAAAACAGTCTGTGGCAGCCCTAGTGTGTAGCTGGAGCTATTTAGTTAGAACGCTCAGAGTTTACACGTCTCCATGGCAACACCAGAAGTCCACTTCAGCTCGTTTCTCCACTTATTTTATTAAAGTTTTCATCATTTATGTGGTTTTCATGTTCTGCTCCAGAGTCTGGATGTTTAGAGACTGGAGGACTTTGTTTCCGCTGAGCAGCTGTGACTTTGAAGTTCTAATGGTCACGTGACCCTAAAGTCAACTCAGGTCACGTGATCCTAAAGTTAACGCTGTAAACCGTTTATCACAAATACACGTTTATTAGTGTGTTTGCCTCGTGTGACCAGAGTCCATATATGGCTTAGAGAAGGCTGCTGTTGTGTCCATTTAACCCACGTTGCCTGCTGGTGGTGGTCGGAGGGAGCGGTGGCGCCTGTGCAGGTTCGTTCTCCAGCATGTGCTACCATGGTGACTGGGAGGGGCTTCAGGGTAGTCACGTTCGTAGAAGCGATTTAGGGGCGCTACACCGGGAATCGAACGACAAAACCTGGTTTGGGGAAAATCTCGCTTTCTGGAATACGCCCCAGGTTAGCTGCGTTGTTATAGAGACACCATGATGTAAAAGCTCTTGTGGCAGATACATGTCAGGTTTATAAATGTCTATCAAAAGTGAGGGAGACTACAAGCCTGCGATTGGTCAGGACGTTGCTTCCTTAAAATTTATCAACACCACCACCCCAACCCCCCTCCAAAAAATAAAGAGTGGCTAAGACATCTAGCAGCAGCAGGTTGAAGAATGTCTGACGGGAAAGTCAGAATACAAATATGAATTCAACCCCGATTACAAAAAACATCAGTGCATGTGTGCAGCTCTGTATGCAGGCTGCTGATGGAGACATCTACATCAGGCTTTACGCGCGCGCACACACACACAGTATTTGGTGACTTTTTAGATCATTTCAGTCCCTCCTCCACACACTACCTCCACTCTCACATCCTGTTATCAACCAGAACATCAATAGAAAATCAAAGTCTTAAGTCACTGCTAGGGATGCACCGATGGATCGGCATTTGATCGTAATCGGCCGATAGCGCCCCTATCGGTTTTGATCGGAATTTTCAAAATAGATCAAAGCAAACCGATCAGGTAGGGTTGTCACGGTAACCGGTGTAGCGGTAAACCCCGGTAAAAACAAAAAAGTTGACAATAATAATAACCGTCTTGTTTTTAAAAAAACTATATTATCTTGGTGGATTAGCGTGGCTGCGGTGTAGGCGCGGTGACCCTTACCAGCCACCGTATCATCGGCTGAAGTTGCCGGCGGCTCATGCGCACTTTGTTTACAACAAAACTTTCTTGAAGCTAAAGCTGAAATAATGGCCAAAGGAGGAGACGGCAGCGCTCAGGACGTTTATTATCCCTCAAAGAAGACAAAGTGGGAAGTACGGGCATATTTTGGATATGTGAAGAATGCCGAGGGACAGCTGATAGAAGACGGCTATCCTGTTTGCAGCACGAGCAGAAAAAGTGTCTGTGAAAGGCAGCAACGCTTCAAATCTCATGACACATCTGCGTGACCATCACCCACAACTCTACAGTCAACGCAAGGCAAGCTAACGTTAGCATTTTAGCTAAAATGCGTGATCCGAGGATTTGGGTTGAGGGAGAATGCAACGAGTCGCTATATAAAGCAGCCGCAGCGCCGCTACCTGCATATAAACCGTGTCGCGGACACCGCCATGTTGAAATGACGCTATGCATTACGGGGCTCCCAGGGGCCGATAAGAGTTGGTCTCTCTCCGAGAATAATTATGAATTTAACAACGATTACTGCCTGATGACATTTTCCCACATCTGCAAAGCTCACTGGAAGGACACAAACCGAGGACGATACTTTCCTGATATAGGGTTTATTACTCAAGTAAGAGTAAAAAAGTATCTGATTAGAAGGCTACTTGAGTACTGAGTATCATCTGATCTAATAATTTTAAATGATGACATCAAACAGACATAAAATAAGAAGTTATGGGCAAATATTGGTATTTTAAAGACTAAAGGGAAAAAATGTAAACAAGTAAACAACATAATTACAAAATAACACATTTTAGGCAACATTTAGACACAAACTGAGGACAATATTTTCCTGATATACAGAGTTTATTTAATTGTGTGAAAATGTAACACGTTTAAAAAAAATACCGCGATAATACCGAAAACCGTGGTAATTTTGGTCACAATAACCGTGAGGTTACATTTTCACACCGTCACAACCCTAATACAGACCATTTTAGATTAGGTTACATTTCCTTTATTCCCAGATTATGTAGTTTGTAGCACTCATTATAATGTAGAAAATTTCTGGCCAATCCACGTGATCGGTATCGGTGATCGGTATCGGTGATCAGCATTCTTTTATATCGGTATCGGCAGCAAAAAACCTGATCGGTGCATCCTTAGTCACTGCGGGCAGTTGCCAACAATATCGTGTATATTAGCTACGACTGAGATGCAGCTCTATAAACAAAACCGTCTGAAATGAAATAGCTCATCCCAGCTCTCACTGGTGTGTGTAGTGTGTACCTGGCTGGTTGTTGTGGTTCTGTGGTTGCAGCATTTGGCTCTGGTTTGGCCTCCTCAGAAGGAATAGGGACAGCTGCTGGGGTGGGAGCTGGAGCAGGGTTTGATGCTGGGGCGGGTGCTGATGTGGAGCCAGAGTCCTGTACAGGGGGCTTGGAAGCTTCTGAGACCGGTGTCGAGGCTACAGCTGCAGGTTTGGCCTTGTCACGCATCCAGAGACAAATAAAATTAATATTTGAAATGCAACCAGCTTTTAAAGGCCTAGCCTCAAACCCTTCGGTCTCACCTTAGACACCATCACTACAACAAAATTCTTCTCATCGATTTTGTAGTCCTTAATCGGTGTGTCATCTTGCAAGATTTTGCCAGCATATATCAGTTTCTGTCCAGAAACAGGAAAGTTGTCTTTTCCACGTTCAGCCTCTATCTTCTCTTTCAAGGCCTTGACCTGATAAAAGAGCAGATGAAGATGAAATGTGACGACTGGCGGGTTACCAGTCACCACCACACATGCGTGTACCGCTGCTCGGGAAGTGTGCATTTGCTTCTTCACGTTTTCCATTACTCCCACATCGAAAGGACAACACAAACAGCTTTAATCGTTCATAATAAACGTCCTTAATATTATTTTAGTTAGCATAAAAGGCGCCACGGCCAATTGTTTCATTACGTTGCCGAGTTGAAAGATAAGAGTGGACTTCTCTAAGATTTAGTCAAAACAGTCCTCCGAGAAGACTCAGCCAAATAACACGTTTATGAATGTAAATATATTTCATGTCTAACGTGACTCAGCACTTTCCTCACTTAACAGACAGCACGATGAGGAGCATGGAAGTAAACTGAGGCTGAACACCTGTATTGCTACTGGAAATTGGCAGTGTCATGAGCGTTAGCATTCCAGACATTCCTGTCCCAGGCTAAGACAGACGCCCGGCTCAATAACAGAAGCAGCACGAACGTGAAGAGCATCGACTTAGCTGTAGAAGAACAGAAACATCTAGAAGTACACACCGCGCACACTTTAACGCGAACAAACTACTTTACGGTTGCATCGCTAAGACTAATGGGCTCCACTGCTAACATTAGCAACGTTAGCTCAATAACATTAGCGTGTATCGTTAGCGTTCACCATCCCTGGTTTGCCGCGCAGTTTAAGAAACCGCAGAACAGTCAATTTTGTGGCAAATTGTTTTATTTATATTTTGTCAAAACTATAGATTTAAGCACGCCTCGTAAAGCTAGTTTGAAACTTGAGCTAAAAGTGCCGCAGCTAGCACAGTTAGCTGGAGCCCGTTAGCATGTAGCCACTCACCGTTTGATCGGGGTCTATCTCAATCTGAATAGTCTGCTGCTGTAGCGTTTTCAGCGTGATTTGCATCGTAGCGAAGTCTGACGTCCCGTCAGAGGTGCTCCTAGTGGGAAGAAACAGCTGCCCGCTTTGCAGTTAATGTGTTTTTAAAGTTGGCGTTTTGGGTAAGATAACAGCTAGCCGATAAATGTGTGTATCCATGAGCACTCAGCAAATCGCCATCTTTGGTGACAAGCTGGTGGAGCGTCGAGAGGAGCCGCGCTCACGCGCCGCCTCATCTGAGCCGCGAGACCGAGAAGCCTGCCTGCGTGGTATGGAAAGCCAGTTTATCATTAAATTGTTACATTATTTCTTCCTAAAATCAACCAATTGCGGCTGGTGAAAAGATTCTTGGTGTGAAATATTTCCCACCATGTCCATTATAAGTATTAAAGCGAGCAGAAGTCATTCAGTGTCCTTCTCCAAATAAGCAGTGAAGTCAACAATCAAATTAACAGATAAATTAGACAATACTTAATAAATACACACGCCTACTTTGCACACCTTTAAGAGCAACTGCAGTATGTAATGTCCATTTTTCTCCCTATTCACATTTTATTTTGACAGCACTTTGTTTTACATCTTGAGTTTCAGTCTCCAGCAGCCTGTGTGTCTTACAGTTTTTCTCAACTGTTTACACACATTTTCGGTTCCGTTTGAAATGTGTATCTCAACCGCTCCGCACGGAAGTGGCAAAATAATGTTTAGCGCTCATAACAAGCGGATTCTCAGCATTTTGCTCATAAAACAGACGACCTGCAGGCCTCTGTGAGTTAAAACATCCTGATACTGTTCAGGTGTAAACATTGTGCTCCATCCCTGTGTTTGAACTCAGAAGATGCTGCTTGATGCCACAGATATGTGATGATTTAGCTTGTTTCTTTATTTTACTCCAGAATAACAGATTAAAAAAGTAGTTCAGTGTAGTTGAATTAGTCATGACGTGTGTGTGTGTGTGTGTGTGTGTGTGTGTGTGTGTGTGTGTGTGTGTGTGTGTGTGTGTGTGTGTGTGTGTGTGTGTGTGTGTGTGTGTGTGTGTGTAATTCTTGGTTGAAGTAATGGTGAACAAAAGTAACTTATATTTCATAAATTATGACATCTTAATAGTGTCTATGTTAATGTTTTATCTTATCTTTGGTCTGGGAGGTGTAACTTATCATGATACAAGCCTTTTAAAACATGTTAAAGTGTTACAAGAGGAGATAAATGCATGAATTTAAAGTTCATGTTTGGAGGCTCACGCTGGTGAGGAGACACCATTAGTTCTAGTAACACCTGGGCTCCCACGGCCTGTTCTGACAGGATGGACGTTACGGGACCCTTAAGGATTCCAGTTGGATGATTGGAGGATTATTTAGGAGGATTGGAATGAACACACTGGTTTCAGTGGTGAAGGGTTAAATGAGTGAGTGAACCCACTACCAAGGATGAACTCTGCTAACTTTAAACATCAGCTGCTCTAAATAAGCATGAAAGCATTAAAATATAGATGCTTTCCCTTGTAAATGTAGTTTCACAGGTCTTCCAGGAGGGGGCGCAATCTGACCATTCACAGACAGTCGGCGCAGAATTAAAACAGCTTTATTTCTTTAGCACATTTCACATAGAGGCAATTCAATGTGCTTTCCATTAGCAAGAACATTAAAGTCAACGTGAGGAAAATCCAATTTTGAAATTAAGAAGAGACAAAGGCTGTGCAGAGCAGTCATTCAAAGGCTGATGAACACATGAAGGCTACCAGAGCTGGGGCACGTGTGAGGTCATGAGGAAGCGGACTCCATCTGTGAGCAGCACAGTAGCTAAAAGCAGATTCACCCTGTTGGTTCTGACCCGGTTCTACCAGCTGACTGTTTCCTACGGACCTCAGTGCCGGCTGGGCCACAGGAAGGAGATCCAGCACGTAGTCTGGCCCCATGCTACTGAGTGGTTTATAAACTAGTGGAACTAGTAGAAGTAGTTACTAGTAGTGTACTGGTGACCCGTGTAGAGATCTAAGAACAGGGGTGATGGTTCGGTTCTCTTGGTTCTTGTGAGGACTCTAGCAGCAGCGTTCTGAATAAGCTGCAGCTGCTTCACAGCTTTTGGGGGAAGACCACACAAAAGACCATTGCAGTAGTCCAGCCGGCTGGAGATGAACACATGAATGAGTTTCTCTAAGTCTGGTCTGGACATGAGACCTCTGAGTCGTGATATTTGATGAGATGATAAAACGCGGATCTAGTTCTAGCCTCAATGTGAAGCTCAGGTCTGAGTCAGTGGTAACACCAAGATTTCTAACCTGGGTCTTTGTCTTTATTCCCCTGGGGCCAAGCTGAACAGTAACCTCCATCCTGTCCTTCTGACTTCCAAAGACAATAACTTAAACATACAATTAAAAATTTTCCTTTCATTATTTTCTCAGAAAAAGAACCAGAAGTTTACTTATTTAATGATTTAGATATTTAAATGGAAATGTAATGAAGCTGCTCTGTAACTGGACATACATTACATCACAGGATGGATGATGGATGGATGAGTGATGGATGAATGGATGGATGGATGGATGATGGTGGATGGATGGATGAGTGGATGATGGATGGATGGTGGATGGATGGATGGATGGATGGATGGATGATGGTGGATGGATGGATGATGGATGGTGGATGGATGGATGATGGATGGTGGATGGATGGTGGATGATGGATGGTGGATGGATGGATGGATGGATGGATGGATTGATGGATGGATGGATGGATGGTGGGTT